TACTTTAATTTTAGACTATTTAGAGGTCGAGGCTAGACTCACCGCGTTAGGTAAGGTAATCGAAAGCACAAGAATATAAGCCTTAGACCTAGGAAAAGGAGATGCAGCTACGGTAGAGATAGCCATACCTAACATACTAGTAATAGGCGTATGCTTTAATCCCATAGAGATATAGTAGCATAGAAGTAAGTAAGGTAGTTAGTCAATTAGCTTCTAAGAGACTAGATAGCATGGTAGTATAAATACGAACCGCTGTTTACTCGTGATTATATATCTATATATATCTATACGTAAAGAGAAATAAGATATTTATTCTATACCGTTATATAGTAGGACGTTACTATATATGCCGGCATACAACGGAATGTTCCGACATGCGCCGGTATATTATAGAATATTCCTAGATACTCAAAGTATAGTCGTAGTATAAAGTAGCATTACTATTATATGCCGGCATATAGTAGGACGTTACTATATATGCCGGTATATAATAGGATCATACTCTAACATACTATACGCCGCCGGTATATTATAGAATATTCCTAGATACTCGAAGTATAGTCGTAATATAAAGTAGTATCGCTATACTATACCGGCATTTAGTAGGACGTTACTATATATACCGGTATATAACGGGATTAAACGTTTTCTTAACGTTCGATAGAACGATTCTAAAAGAACCGGGACGGCTCTAGGAGAACTAGAACGACTCCGGGAGGACTAGGACGACTCCAGGAGGATTAGGACAACTCTAGAAGTACCGGGACGACTCTAGGAGGATTAGGACAACTCTAGAAGTACCGGGACCCATTTGGGATAACTTTAGAAGTACCGGGAGACCTAGAAGCATTGGGAGCGCCGTATCTTTCCTAATGTAACCTCTTATAGAATCTCTATTTTCTTAAGGCTCGTAGAGTATGTCTTTTCTTAATATATAAGGGGAGGTATAAGTAGTATAGGTGTCGGGGAGGCGGTGCTTTTGGCCTATTTTACTATATACTATAGTCTAGTGGTATTACGTGTATATCTATCTATAACTATATACTACTATTTACGTCGCTCGTTACGGAGGACCTTATCTTATTATCTTCTCGCCTCTCTCTATTTATCCTATACTTTAGGTATACGGTTATAGTATACGCGTATATATAATCTCCGGACTTCTCGCCTATGCTCTCGCACTTAAGGTATACTTTTCGGGTCTAGGGGTCTATATATTTAGTACGGCACGTGTTTATCTCTTACTCCCTAGTACGCCTATAGGAGTATATTCACGGCCTAGTTAATAGCCGGGCCATTAGATACGTTAACTATAGACGGGTCTAGAATTATCGATTCTAGGTCCTTTAGATACTTTTTCTAGTTAGTATTCTTCTATAGCTATCGCCCTCGTTAGTCTTAAGGGGTAGATACGTCTATTATAGTCTCTATATATTCGTGGTCGGAGTCTATCTATATAAGGCTTAGGCGGTAGTATTAAGTCCTATTATAAATGTGTCTAGTGGCTAGGGTAAGGTCGAGTGTAGATCCGCCCTTATCTTATTTATATTTTCGCTAGGTAATCTATTCTACTAGTATAAGAAGGTATAGAAAGTAGTAGTATCGGGTGCGTAGTTCTCTAGCTCGAAGCTCTTCGCGGGTGACGGTTAGTCTACCCTACTAGCTATAATAGAGGTTAAAGTCTTTTAGGAGGATGTGTTATCCTAGCTTAGTAGTACCCTTAAGCATATTATCCGCCTAAAGCGATCGGTTCTAATTATATATATTATATATATAGAGGGGTCTAATATTCGTCTAGAGGTATAGTATTATCCGGAGGTTATCCCGTTTAGTATACGACTATAATAAGAGTAGAATAGACTTATAGATATGGAAGAGGACTCTCCTCTCCGGTCCTAGGGGGTATATTATATAATATTCTAGGTATATTATTAGTTTATTTATCTAGTAGTATTTATATAGCTTCTATATAGCGAGTATTATAGCTCCGGTCTTCTCGAGGAGTATCGCCTAGTTCTTATATTTATACTATATATTTACCTATATAATTAGGAGCATATCTTGGTCTCTTATTAGGTGCTAGAGAATATATAGGCCTATATATTCGTTCCTCTAAGACGCGACTATCCTTATATAGTGGCGGCCTTAGTAATTCCTTAGGGCCGTCCTATTATTAGCTTTCTTAGAATAGTTTACTATTTCTAACCGCTTCCTCGTGAGGAGGTAGTCTATAGTAGTAGTATTATAGTAAAGAGAGGAATAGTAGTAGATCGCATCGTTTATAGCTACCTTACTCCCTTTATCTAGATTAAGTAGATATATTTAGTAATCTATTTGCGTTTCGCGCACGTAGCCGACTACGACAGGTACTTACCGTTATAGTTAGAGTACTTTACCGTATCCCTATCCCTCTAGCCCTCTCCTCGTGTCCCGTAGAGGCACTTCTAGGTACTATATTCTTATTAATACTATCTATACCTAGTCTTTTAGGAGTACCGCTATACCGTATACCCGTATCTCTAATAGTTAAAGTACTATATTATCGCCTATACTCTATCCTATAGTTCCGCTATAAGAAGCTCCCCTTCTACTAGGAATCTCTCTTACGTGATTTAATACGCGAGGGCGGGGTTCTTAAGCTCTACTATTATAGTAGAGTATATCTTCGATCTAGTTTTAATCCCTTATATATTCTTCTACTATACTCTTATAATCTTAATCCCTAGGTATTTTCGCTTATTTAACTATTCTATCCGCGTAATATTCTCTTCTCTAATAATCTATCCGCTTACGGGTATAGAGTATACCTATATCGGGTATATAGCCGCCCTAATAGAGGCGCCTAGGAAGATACTACTAATCGCGTTCGGATCGCGTAAGATAGTCTACTACACGATATTTATTATCGTGGTAAGTACTACTCCTCCTAGCGTGAGTTTAGTAGTAACGACGTTTAACTATATTCTCTTTTATTCGTTAATCTTACTTACTATATCCTTTAGAGATGCTTACTAGACCTATACTAGGGTATCCTTATCCTAGATTATAACGTGTATACTATACGCCACGTCGCCGGTCCGGGGGGCCCGTAGTATAGTCTCTAGTATTACTACTATTTATATCTATATACTAGGGCGCTTATCTTAAGTAAGTTCCTCCTAGATTCTATATAGGCTAGCCTCTATTCGGTCGAGCCTACCCTCCGGTCCTCCTAGTTATATCTTCTTCTCCTCCTCTATAATTCCCTTTAGATTCTAGATAAGGTTCTAGAATATATATAGAAGGGTCTTCTAGCCCTCTCCGGCTTCCTTCTCTATACGTACTACCTAGTAGTTAATATAATCTAGGAGGGTTTCCCCTCTCGGGGTCCCCTTTATTCCGTCTATCTATAGCGGCGTACGCCTTTAGGTGTGTTCTACGTTTTAGATAGGTATATGGTTACCCTTAGTAATATCGCTATATGGCCTTTTCTATCGTACCGGTGGGGGTATATCCGGTATATACTAGGGTATATCGGTGCCTAAGGCCGCTATATTTATTAGTTAAGGGCTACCCTTAACTAATAAAAGGGAGTCGGTATATTAGCGTTCTAGTAGCGTAGTCCGTGCCTCTATCTCTATGAGGATTTTAAGAGGGTATATATATATCTTTATACGGCGATAATATCTTAGTTTCAACACTACACGTACGTGCGTATAGTAGTAGTTAGTATACTCGGTGTACTCTATCGATTAAGGTATGTATCTCGCTATATTACCCCGAATAGACCAAGTTAGCCTCTTAGAGGTGTAAAAGAAGTTTTTTTAGGATAGGTAGTAACTAGATAAGGATAGAATAATAAAATAGTAGCCTCGCTTATTAGTATAACTAACGTCCGTATAATAGTAAGTTAACTCTATTATACTAATTATCTTAATCTATTTTAGGCTAGCTTCCTTCCTCTACTAAGCCTTATTATATATAATCGCGGTACGCCCTCTTAATAGAGTCTCTATATTTAGCGAACTTTAAAGTTCTATATCTAGTAATAGTATAGAAGAGTTATGGTAACGAGTACGTTAAGGTTACTAAAGAGATTTCTTACCCTAGGACTCGCACTTTACGCTATCCTTAAAGGTAATTATAATAACCTTATCCTTTATATTAGCGAGCGAGTAGATCTTATCTATAACTATATAGACTCTCTCCTAGCTAATAATCGACTAGTTATTAATAGTAAGAGTCCTCCGCTATTTCTTCCTTATACTAAGGCTATATACTATCTAGTAAGTATTAAAGGCCTAGTTATTAGTACTAAGTCTTATACTAATTAAGTTATTAATCATACTCTCGTATATCTTATATTTAAATATATATCGCGGAATAGTAGTAAGTTTATCTACTATCTTATTCTTTCTATTAATATATAATATCTAGAATACGTAGATCTTATATATCTCCTCTTTATCTTCTATAACCTTATTCTATTTACTATCTATAGAATCTACTAGAGGAGAAGAAGGAGAAGAAGAAGAAGATAGAGATAAAGAGATAGATAGAGGAGTAGGTATAGCCTCCGGAGGCGCCGAAACGTTAATAACACGTGGTTTTTTTAGCGCCGCGGTATATTTATAAGCTTATTTCTTCGCTATTACCCTTATAGTAGTAGCCTCTACTAATTTAGTAGTAGATTTATACTAACGAGGAGGAGGAGAAGAAGGAGAAGATTTAACTAACGCGTCTATCGTAAACTAAACGCTTTAAGCGGGTTTTTTTAACCTAGAGAAGGGTATATAGGTAAAAAAAATACGTGTAGACTTAATACTAAGTATATTAACTAATATTCGATAGTATATATATATTTAGACCTTATATAGTAATAAGTATACGATAAAATGCTAGAATATGTCCGTCTTACGTAAATTTGGGTGGGGGAGACATAGCGCGACATCCGAATGCCAAGAGAGTCAGGTTCTAGGCAAACGACGAATATCAACATCGACCTTAAAGACCATCCATCCATCCTCATCATCCATGGACCAAGCTCGCCAAGTCATCTCCACAGCCTCGCTTTCAGGAAGGTCCTAATCATCCCAAGATGCCATGTCCGGCCGGAACCATGTCCCCGGCTATATCTGTCTGAGTCTCGCTCTCTCCGCCGTCTTCGTCTCCGTCACGTCTCTCGCCATGTTCTTGTACGGCTATGTTGCGCCGGCACTGATGCCTGCTCTGTTCGCCGCCGTGCAGGGCGTTGCTGTAGGTAATTCGTCCAGTCTTGGTGTGGCGTGGTATCCGCCGAACAAGACGTGGATCAATGACTTGGGGCGGGTTATGGGTGATGAAGGGACGAACGGGTTTGTGTTTAGCGGGAGTGAGCTGCCGGAGGGTGTGGAGTATGGGACGTATAACTGGTGCAATATGCCGCATGTGCGGAAGGAGGAGTATCCGGTTGCGAGCGCGGAGTATGAGTTGCAGTATGTCGAAGTGGTGAGTGTGCTTGGTCGTGTCGGGACGCTCTATAACACATTTCCCGCTTCTACCGCAAAGCAAAGCAAAACAAACCACATCAAGAATGATATCTAAACAAACCAGATCCACCGCCACCACAAACGCACCCCCTACGCCGACAACACCTTCCCCGACGACCCAACCCCCTGGTCCTGCACCAACGAAGCCCTCTTCTCCTACGCCCAGCCCCTGAACCCCACTTCAATCCCCTCCGCACAAACATACTGGTCCCTCGACAAATCCCCCATCAACCCCTTCTCCCCGCGCAGCCCCAACAACAGCACCTGCCAATTCCCCCAGATCACCCGCGGCGGCCTCGAGGACTCCTACCAGCACGGCCTCGACCTCTGGGGCGTCTACGGCGACCTGCTCGGCTTCCTCCCTCCTGCTAATGCTACCGATGATGATGATGCAGAGAGCAGCAGCATATCCGTCCGCGTCACGGCCAACGTAATTACATCCCAAGTCGCGGGCATGCTCACGCGCAGCTTGATTCCCTCTCTCCATAACTCCACCAACTCCACCAACTCCACCAACTCCACCAACTCCACCCCCTACCCCCTCCTCCTCGCCCCCTCCGCAACAGACTCCCTCGAACCAACATACCCCTGCCCCGCCGCATCATCCGCATCCGCGTCCTACGCCATCGGCAGCGCGCACCCGTCCTGGACACCGCATCTCGCTGCTTCAGCCTCGCTATTCGCTGCTCTGGACGCCGTGTCCGGTGTATCGGCGGATGACGCCGCGTGGCATCGCTCCTGGGATCATTATTTTGATAATCTCTCGGCGCGGACGTGTCATGCGCGGGGATTGCCTTGTCGGGGTGGTGCTGGGCATGCTGGTGGGCATGATGGTGGTGGTGCTGGTGGTGGGCATGCCGGCGAAGGGGATGCAAAAGGGAACGGGAACGGGAAAGGGGATGGAAAGCGGGCAGGCGAAGAAATCTGCACAACCCAAGCCCAAGCAAACACAATCTTCCGCCTCGCCCAACTCGAATACTCCTACATCTACCGCGACGCGCCCGAAAGTCTACACGCCAGCGCCGCCTCGTTCGGGCTCTGGCTTGCTGAGCTGGCGCTGCATATCCGGGAGAGTGACGGTGCAAGCCGGCGGCGAAGGACTACTACTAGTAATCGTCAAGCTGAGGGAGGGAGTAATGTCATATACAGACATAACGTCGCGCACGACGGCAGTATAGCCCGTCTTCTGGCGCTGTTGCAGGTCGACGTCATGGTTTGGCCTGGGATGGGGAGTGAGGTTGTTTTTGAGGTTTATGGGCGGCGTGGGCGTGGGCGTGGGGATGGGGATGCGGATGGGGATGGGGAGCGTGGGCGTGGGGGTCAGGGCGAGCGGTATGCGGGTCAGGAGAAGGAGAAGGAGAAGGAGGAGAAGAAGAAGGAGAAGGAGAATAAAGAGAAGAAGGAGAAGAAGAAAGAGAAGAATAAGGAGAATAAAGAGAAGAAGGAGGAGAAGAAGGACGAGGCCAAAGCAGAGGAGGATGGCACGGACAAGAGATATCTGCGCATCCTCTGGGGCGGGCGGATCTTCCGCAGCGCGCACCCGGCGCTCGGACGGGTGGATATGCTGGACGTGGATGTGTTTCTGGGGTATGTGGATGGGCTTGTGGGGAGGGATGGGGGTGGGATTGTGGGCATGTGTGCTGGGTGATTGATTGGTCGGTTGGTTGGGGGTGTATGGTGTGTGGTGTATGTGTGTTGTGTTTTTGAGGGGTGAAGTATAATGTATGAAATATGAAGTATGAAGTATGAAGTATGAAGTGTAAAGTATAAAGTATAAAGTATATACAGCAGATGTTGAAGGTAGTCTGAGCAGCCCCTTTCTAGCTGGTAGTAGTAGCACGGGTTACAAACGCCTGAACGACTTCGACCCCCTAGTCTCTAGTACGAATATAGACCGCAACGCCAGTGTATCGTATCCCAAGCCCTCTATAACGCGCCGTGTTGAATGCATGCATGCAAATGTACGTAGTAATAGTACGCAACAAATCCCAACTCATGTTTTCTCCCCCAAAATCCCCCAAAAAACAAGCCCTCACAGCTCCTTCCTCGCCAATCCCGCCTCCGCGGCAGCGACAGCAACATCCGGCCTGTGCAGCGCTCGCTTCCGCAGTACATTCTCGATAAACGCCTCACCAGCCTTATAACTCGAGCGCACCAACGGCCCACTAGCACAGTACAAGAACCCCATCTCCAGCGCGCGCCGACGCCACATGTCAAACACAGCGGGCGTGACGTACTCCTCAACCTTCATATGGCGCTTCGTAGGCCGCATATACTGCCCAAACGTAACGACATCGACGTCGACATTGCGCAGCTCGCGCAGCGCATCCACGAGCTCGTCCTCCTTCTCGCCCAGGCCGAGCATGATGCTAGTCTTCGTGATGAGGCCCGGCTGCGCCAGTTTCGCCGTGCGGAGGACGTCCAGACTCTGGCGGAAGGTGGCGCGGCGGTCGCGCACGGAAGGGGTAAGCGATTCGACCGTCTCGACGTTGTGCGCGTACACGTCCAGGCCGGACTGCGCGACGAGCCTCACCATGTCCGTGTCGCCGGCGTAGTCGCCCGTCAGGGCCTCGACGAGCGTGGACGGGGACTTTTGCTTGATCTTCATGATTGTCTCGGCGAAGTGGCGGGCGCCGCCGTCGGCGAGGTCGTCGCGGTCGACGGAGGTGAGCACGACGTAGCCCAGGCCCCAGCGCTTGAGGGCCTCGGCCGTGTGCTCTGGCTCGTGCGGGTCGAGGGGAGGCGGTGCTTTTGCGGTTTTGACGGAGCAGAAGCGGCAGCCGCGCGTGCAGGTGTCGCCCATGAGCATGATTGTTGCCGTTGCCGCGGCCTTGTCCGAGCCGCCCCAGCAGTCTGAGATGTTGGGGCATCGGGCCTCCTCGCAGACTACACTCGCGGATTAGCAACATTGATACGGGTCTGAGAAACGCCAGCCCTGGACAACATACCGGTATGCAAGTTCAGCCCCCGCAAATCCTTCTTGATCTTCTTATAGTTGTCATTATTCGGAATCGGCGTCTTCAGCCACGCCGGCAGTCTCGTAATCTGCTTCTTTCTGCCCTCCGGTCCCACCATTGCGGTGCGCAGCTCCAGCGCATCGTCCGGCGTCAGGGCTTCCTCCTTGCCGCTGACAAAGTCGCCGAACTTGGGCCCTGCGTTGAGCTTGTTGCTGAATGATGTCGCCGGTCGGGATGATGGTTGTGGTTGTGGTTGTGATTGTGGCTTTACGGCGGGTTCGGGGAGCGTGGTGGCGAAGCATCGGCGGCGTGTGAAGGAGGATTGTAGGAGTGAGGATGAGGATGAGGATGCTGACAGGACACCAGCAGTCAGGCGCCGTGCGTGCGGAGCGGAGGCCATGGCGAGTGCGTCGAGATGTTCAATGTTTGATGTCGGTCGGCGTGTGAGGACTCTTTTGGTTGACAGACAGACAGGGCGGAAAATCAGCACCGATTTGCAAGCGTCATGACTGGACCGTTGGAAAGCGGCGCTAGAGCTAGTCCGGCTAGCCGTTTAGGGTTTAGCCGCCGTTGCATGCCATGCCGACTCTCCCTACATATCACATCTGCATATGCCATGATAAAGAGAAGTATCACATCGCTTCCTGGTATGTATACACTTATACGATATCCAGACCCATGCTATAGTACACATACCCGAGCCCACACGCCCGTCTTACGTGAAATCACAGCCCTGTCCAGTCTGTCACGCGTGCGAAACGCGGCTGGAACAGCATGAGTTGGAAGTATCCTAGTCGGAATTGTTGCAGGACGTTGTTGTCGTCGTAGCAGTATATACATACATATCAAGCCTCCATGCATGCGTGTCTACAGTGCCTATATACACACCCAATCCATCAATCAACCACACTGTAAAGCAAGCAACCATCTACCCTCTCCTCCCTCAACATCCAAACCACCAAGAAAGAAAATGGCCTGGGAATTCCTCCGCCCAATCCTCACCCCCGCCGCCCTCCTCTCAATACAGGCCAACGCCTCGCCACTCCTCACCCTCCTCCTCGTCTACATCGGCCTCACGACGCTCTGCGTGCTGGTGTGGTACATTCACTTCCGGACTTCCAAGGCATATCCTGCTACCAAGAAGAAGGATAATGGTGGTGGTGGTTTGAAGAAAAAGGGTGGGGAGGGGTGGTGGTGGGTGGGTCGGCTGAGGCTTCGAGGGTGGATGCGCGGGTAGAGAAGGAGGGCTAGAGAAAGGGGGTTAGTTACACATGTATGAGGCTTGGAGTTAGAGGAGGTTTTATCTTTTTGGCGATTTGTGCGTGGTTTGCGCTGTTGGGTGTTGCTGTTGGTGGAGGAGGTTTTGGTTGACTTGTTTGCCCAGGCATAGTCCCACGAACATGCCGTCGTCTCACTGACAGGCCAATTCAACCGCGCATTCACATATAACTCGTCTAGGCAGACACAAGAACAAGCGTAGACCGACTGTCGTCTACTTCCGTAACATATTAATAGGGGACCGCGTCCCGCGTAGCTGATGTACCTCTCTCTCTCTCTCTCTAGACTCCTGCACCATCAGTCTTCTATGTAGTATGTACAAGCCCGGACCGAAGCCTCGTGTCCGAACCAAACCATGATTGCCCAGTATTCGCAGGTCATGCATCAAAGACAGCAAGCCGTGCATCAGAAACTCCGAGTGGTGTGCCGCCGCTCCGTCGCAAAAGGCCAAACCGAAAAAAGCCTGAAAATAATAATTTATTGCCGCGCGTGGGAAAAAAAAAGTTGTGGAATGAGTTTCGCGTGGAATGGATATGCATGGATGGGTATCGCTGTATCAATCAGTCATCACTCAATGGCCGAGGAGCCCGCCGTCCTTCTCTTCGGTCTCGTGCACCGTGTCTTCCAGCTTGCGCACCACACGGTCGCACCATGAGTCGACGTATTCGGTCCACATGTGCGCACACACGTAGACGAGGCCGATCCAGACGGGAATGGCAAAGTAAAAGACCCACGGTCCGTAGGGGTGCAGGTAGTCTTTCGGATACTCCTCGCCCGTCTCTTGGTTCGTCATCAGCTCCCAGGGCTGGCCGGACACACCATAGATCATCCACATGAGGACGGTGCGCATGAGGGTGCCGTGGATGAGGTATACGGCAAACGACGACCTGCCCAGGTACATGAGGAACCTGCACGACAGCCACTCCTTGATATGGGGGGAGAGCCATATGCCGATGCATACGAGGTCGACACCGAGCGCGGTGTATCGCTTCTGCACACTGAGGTCCTCTCCCTCGGGGAAGATGTAGGTTGCAAAGTACTGCAGCTGAGCGCTCCAGGGTTGTGTCGCGACACGGTCCGGCAGACCGTCAGGGTAGGAGGCGACATAGAGTCCAAGGAAGATGAGTGCTGGCGACACCAGCTTCGACAGCCAGCGGTGGGTGCAGAGTTTTTGGGCCCAAGGCTCGTTGGCGAGGTCGCAGAGGAACATGCCAAAGTAGACCTGCATGCCAAAGGTTTCTGGTAGAGAGTGGTAAGCTAATGATGACAGTGTGCCTGACACGTGGACTAGACGTGGGCCGCCCCATAGAAAGATTCCCACAAGGCGGGGAATCAGGGCTGCTAGGGATCAGCGACAGGGTCTGCAGGCAGTGCTTACCGGTATGTTTATGGGCGTTTTGCCAGAAATAGGCGTACATTAGGGTGTACAGCATCATGCGATACTGGAACTTTAGTTTTATCGTCGCAACGAGCGTGAGATAGACAATGAAGGATCCCTTGAGCAGAGGGAGCAGCGCCCATTGATGGTGGTCATATGCCATAAATTCATAAGTCCAGGTCATGCGCAGATTCACAAACAGGCGCCAAAACTCTTCTCGCAGGGTTGGCAGGGTTTTTGGACAGGACAGGCGCATCCAGGAGGAGTCGCAGCGACTGCCGACCGTCAAGGCGCCCATCTGAGCCAAACTCCAGACTATGCATGTCGCGATTGTAGCAGGAAGAATGAGACGCGGGGTCCGACGAAAGGCAGACTTGGCGACGGCAGTGTAGGCGCTCGAGTAGTTTCCCTGGCGAGCCAGACGGAGAGGCTTCAGGGCGCAGACAAAGCCGGTGAGAAAGGCAAAGATGGTGACGGATATGCGGCCTTGCCATGGGAGTCTAAAGATGGGGAGCTGTAGGAGACGCGGCTGTTCGATAGGCACGTCCTTTTCGGTATCCCAGTCGCTGGGGTAGAACAAATCGTAGTCAAAGGCACGAGCAAGGTGAGTACAGATGACTAGGAACGAGGCGATGCCGCGAAGGCCCTGCAAGGTTGTGGTCAGCACAATGTTTGGCTGGAGTCCGGGGTAAGTCAGCAGGTCTCACCTCGACCCATTTGACGTTTCCAGCATTGTTTCCAGGAGCCATTGCTGCCTCATCTAGGGGATAGAGAGAGTCTCTTGTAGTGTGTGGCCGGACGGTGGAGAGTTGGCAGAGAAAGGAAAAAGAGAAAGTCTAGGAAGAGGGTAGAAGGAATGACGACAGCGAGTGAAGGAGAGAAGAGTCCGCACGGCAGACGTCTTGTAGCATGGATGTGCAGAGGAAGTCATGTATGATGCTGCATATTCACGCACATGATGCTGTTCTACTTGCTTGGCCAATATCCACTCTCCATCTCCGTCTACTTGTATGTACCTTGACTCGAATCATGACCGGGAGCAGGCATGTGTATCCACGGTATCAAGCAATCCCTGTGTAGGTCAGCATATATCGACTCTCTCGTCTTTTCAGCCATTGTCTTGCAGCTGCACGATCCAAAGATGAAAGGATTCAAGCATCAGAGATCAAAAGGATTCATTCTCTCACTGCAGCTGCAATGCTTGTTGCTGTCCAGTGAGGAGGATGATGGTTGATGGTTGCTGGTAGAGACGGACTTGGCTTTGTCAACCTCTGGCGGTCTGGTTGGCTCGTCGGTAAATCAAGCCCTGCCCGTCATCCTACCACCACACACCACCACCACCAGCCTTGCCGCCCCCCCGGTCAGAAAGCAGGATGCTGATTGTCCCATTCTTATTGACGCTCTCAATGCAAGACCTCATCCTGCTCATCTTATTAGCCATTGCTTGGCTGACCATCTACACTCACATGTCCAGCCTCATATTGATACTCTCCACTCTCCACACACTCACACAACTGTCTGCCACCACGCGTAGTATGATCAACTGCCCTCGATTCGTCTGTCGTGGCGCGCACTAAAGTAACAAAAGCTGCTGGAAAAACCCTCCATGAAGCGCCGGCGTCTGCTGGCTCTCCACAAAACGTCAGGGGTAGTGCAGCCTCGTGATCCAGGATACGCTGGCCATGCTGTAATACACCTGCACCTCGTCATCCCCGCCCGATCTCCGGCATATCAACTGGATGTGTAATAAATCATACAAAACATCGTCATCTTTCATCCGACTGTTCACCTGTCAATTCTCCATTCCTCCTCCAACACCTCGTTGTTCTATCTTAGTCCTCTATCCTTGCATCCAAGCATCCAAGCATCCCATCACCTATTATATGTATGTCGATGTGACTGTCCGCTTTCGTCCCTTGTCCGCGACCTTCATCCTTACACAGATCAGGTACACCGAACAGGCACACGAATCGTTCATGTGGGGCTGCCTACCTACTACAGTATGTACACTACAAACTACACTCCACTATATACACTTGAACTACTGTCTGCACTGTCCGTCACACCTTTTCCTCCGCAGAGTGTCGTGCTCTCTCCTCGTCGTCTCTACCCCGGACTCTTGCAGACAGCTATTACCCTATCTAAACCCTTTATGTCAACCTGCTCTCTGCTGTTTGGATCATGCCATCTTCCGACTTGCGTCTGTCTTGAATGCTGGAGACGAGGTGCTGTCCGCAGACGTCCGGAGTGAACAACACGTCAACAAACCAGAACATCCAGATGCGCCAGAGGCCACATCTACTCTACTGTACCTCTTTCATCCGAATTGCGAACTGAAATAGAGTCCGGCTCACCTGCTTTGGGCTGTTCCGTCCCTTTTCGCTCGCCATCTCGCGCACCACCCACTCACCACGATAGACATGCTCACACTGACCACCACAGCGGGATCGAGGCTTTCTTATCGCGACTTGTTCTCGTCACGGTGCGTGCGCTGAATGCCCGTGGTCGTGGCGTCACTCCTGTACTCAACTCGACAATTCCTCGCCTGGTCCACATTCCCACTTTTAATTTCGACGACAAGACTTGCTCGTGGCCCGTGTGGTATATCGGCGTATATTCTCGTCCACCAGTATGACATTTACGCAGCCTTCTCGAAGCAACCTCGTCAAAACTGCTCATCGTCTAATTATGCACTCGTCCTTGTCATCACGTGCATGGATACACTTTACATATCGCATTCACACCACCATCTGTTCTACTCGTCTCTCACATCTATAGTCCCGACGCTCATAGCACGCAAAGCTATCTTCGATGTACACCTCTCAGTCTCGATCCATGCCCAGCAACTGGCCAGAGATGTACTTGGGGTTCAATAGACTAATTATACTACTTATAGCCAGGTCTACGATTCCACAGCTGTAATTCAGTTCGCATCTACGAAGCTAGAATACCGTACATCATCCTTGCCCTTTCTGGAGTCAGCATGTAGCAGCCTGAGGCCAATGTTGGTTAGTCAGCCGCTTCCAATCTACCGTACTAGTACACCAAGGCTGCCTTGATTGATGCCTTGGCGAGGATGAATCATCGTGAGTATTCGTACCTTAGTCATCCAACACCTCACGTCTATCCATACTTTTGCAGTATGGCACAACTCGAAATGATATAAAACGGGATTCTCTAATCTACAGGTCAATTTACACGCAAAGAAAGAGCTAAGAGTATCGCGTCTGCCATCGAATCTTTGCGCTCAACCCCTCTAACCTCGTATACAAGCAAGCATACACGTAACACCAAGGTCCATCACCATCACGACCGAGACACTCCCGCAATGCCATATCCGGATGACTACCCCATACCTCCCGGCGTCCATGCCATCCCGCACCATCTCCTCGACCTCCGCCCCGACTCCGAAATCGACGCCGCAATCCTCAACCCGCCGCCCGTCACCTCGCCCAAAAACATCTGGTTCTACTGGAACACCGGCTACGCAACCATGCACCCCTACGCCCAACGCACCGTCCGCGCCTGGCATCGTCGTCTCTCCAAGCACGGCTGGACGATCCGCGTCCTCGACCGCAGCGTGCCCTCCTCGCCATCCCACATCTCCGCCTTCGTCCCCCTAACCCCCTCCAACTTCCCCACCGCCTTCCTCAACGGCACCCTCACAGGCCCGTACGCCCAGCAGCACTACTCCGACCTCGTCCGCTGGCCCCTCCTGCTCGCCCACGGCGGCGTCTACGCCGATGTCGGCCTCATGCTCATCGGCGACCTCGACCGTCTCTGGTCGTCCACCATCGCAGACCCGTCTTCCCCTTTTACAACCCTCTCCTTCAACGCCGGCCCCTCCGGCCTGACAAACTACTTCCTCGCCGCCCTTCCGCTAAACCCCTTCTTCGCCCGCTGCCACACCCTCTTCCTGCGTCTCTGGGCCGAAAACGGCGGCAGGGATAGCACGCTTGGGATGCGCGATAGCCCCTTGCTCGCTGGCCTGCCGCCCTGGGACGGTGCGTTCTCGCCGGACGTCAAGGCTCGGCTGGAGGACTATATCGCGCAGGGCCGCGTCATGCAGCATGTCATGCAGAGCGTCGATGCAGGCGATGATGCCTGGGACGGGCCTGCATATGTCCGTACACACGTCTACGCGCCCGACTACACGGAACACTCGCAGCTCATCAACGAATTCACGTCCTGGTCCGGCCCGCGCGCCTATGCCCTGCTGAGTCTGCGTCTCCCGGGTGCAGACGAGGAAGAAGACGAAGACCACGCCCACGCCCGCACAATCGTAGAAAGCTGCCTCTCCCGCAGTTTCGCATTCAAGCTGGCCCATGGATTGATCGTGAGTGTGCTAGGCGAGACGCTGGGCTCTTTGTGGCGCGATAACGAGGGGAGTGATGTTGGTGAGGGGACGTATGCGGCGTGGCTGAGGCATGGCATGGTGTTTTGGACGCAGGATGGGATTCCGACGAGGATGGTCTGAGGGGTAAGGGGCAAGGGGATGGAGGTTTGTGATAGAGTTGTAGGCTGGCATGGGACGTGCGAGGTGGTGAGGTAGTTGACATGTGCGTCAGTCAAAGGGCATAAGGTAGATATCAAACTAGAGCCGTCGGCATCAAGGTAGGTTAGGTAGTTCTATATGAGAGACAGCAGCAATTAGGACACGTGACTGGAACTACATACACACTCGCTCAACAGTGTGAGATACCAGCTCTTGCCTCCTATGTCGCTCCTGCCCCTTACGTAGCTCTTGCCCGCTAGACAAATAAACAAAATCTTCCCATTCTTCCAAAACAACGCACAGAGCACTTACCTTGTAGACTGGGTATCATAATCTAGAATCTATCAGTAATCCAAAGAGATGAAACACAAATTCTTTCCCCATATCACTGATACATCCCAAAGGTCAAGCACGCATCACACAAATCACCGTAAGCACAAAGTCAAAGTATCTAGAGTTCGTTTGTCTGATTTCTTCATATATGCGCGCTCTAATTGATACATGTCTATCTCTACATCTCTGTCTTATCTAGACGTAATCTCGTCCATGCCAAATACCATTATCCCATTAAGCCATTATGATATTAATTTACACATTGTGTTGTTTACAGAGTCTTGCTGTGTGACTTTGCAGACGGCCTCGTTTCGACGTCTGTTTGTCTCTCTCTCTCTCCTTCTCCCTCCTTCGAATTCCCTTTGGGAGGTTCTCTCCAAATCGAGCACACCTCTTTGCTGGTGTCGTCGGTCGGTTTCAGCTTTGCCGACCGGAGGATGTTGGCATGATCGACATGCCGGTCGTTGGTTGTGATACCCTCATGTTCATGACAAAAGGAACAAAGACATCCCGTCGTGCATAGCGTGCAAGCCTACACAATCATATCCCATATCACACCATGCGTCGTATCCACAATCCGCAATCCGCCCAAGCACCATCACACACTCCGCCCGCTCGAGCACTTCGAACTCGCACTCCGCGACCTCATCTCCACCACAAACTTCGGCCACGTATTATCCAGCACAAGCCGCTTAATCGACACGAGCGCCGAGTCAAACACCTCAGAATTAAACCCCTGCGGGATATCCGCCAGCGAATCGACCGTCGGCTCAATGCTAGGCGAGAGCTCCGCGTTGCTGTGCAGCGAGCGCTGGTCAAACGGCAGGACAACGTCGACACGGGGCCCGCGGCGGATCGCGCGCGCGGCGTCCTCGAAGACGGCTTGCAGGGCGAGCAGCTGTTTGGAGAAGAGGTTGAGCGGGAAGTCTGCGTCCTGGGGGCTGATGAGGTCGAGGTAGATTGCGAGCGCGGCGTTGTACGCGTCGATGCGGGCCTGGCCTTCGAGCAGACTGCCTGTTTGTTGGGGGAGGGTGTCTTTCCATTCGGCGACGCGGCGCAGGAACATGATGTTTTCGCCGGAGAAGTCGCGGCAGGCGGAGAAGGTCTGGAGGTGGAGGGGGTGTTCGCCGAGGAAGCGCTCGAGGGCGCCCATGGTGAGGAGGTGGGCGCCGAAGATGTCGTCGAACTGGTTGAAGCTTTCGATGCTGTCGGTGAAGGAGAATTTCTCGGATGCGGCGGTGAGGGCGTCGCTGGATTGCTTGGGGCGGAGGATGTAGACTGTTGGCTCGGCCCAGGGGTAGTCGTCCTTTTCGCTGGCGTCGCTGACTTGTTTGCCGAGGGACCAGATCTTGATGACTTGGCGGACGGGGATGAAGATGGTGAAGATCTCGATGAAGAAGGTGTTGAGATGGATCCTGGGGTGGGGGTTAGTATGTGGTTTTTTTTTTTTTTTGGTTAAAGCTGTGTCGGCTGGCTTACCATTGACTTGGGCCAAGGTACATGTTCACCTTTGCGAAGGCGGGCACGTAGAGGGCGACCAGAAACATGGGCACGGCATGGAGACTAACGCCCATGTTAGCATATCAAAAACATCCAAGCAAGCAGACGTGTACTGACCCCGAAAGACACGACCCGATAGTCTGCGTACGCCATCCCAAAGTATCATTAATCCCCCAGGCCCTCCAGATCAAGTACGGCGCCACAAGCCACATCCACACGAGCTGATACAGCACCGTCGGCCACCACTCCCACCCCCGACCCAGATTCGTCAATTGCTCCTGGATATTCGACCCCGTGATCTCCGTCCCCGGCGCGCCGAACCCGGGGTGATACTTCCGGCAGACCGCCCACATCGTCAGACAAGCCGACACCTGGAGAAACATCGCCAGCCCGATAAACGCCGACACCTTGGTCTCGAGCAGCAGATTGTGCCATCGGGCGAGCAGCGAGCGGCCCTTGCTGAGCCCGTGCCGTCGGCTCTTGCGCTTGTACTCCGGCTCAAGCAGCTTTCGCTGCAGCTGCGCGACGCGGAGAAAGCGCCAGTTGGCGGCGTGGAAGAGGGCGATGCCGAGGGGGAAGACGATGCCCATGACCAGGTACTGCACGTCGTATGCCGCGACGGCCGGCATCGTCGCGCCGATCGGATAGACCAGCTGCGCCATGATCCAGTACATGTGCAGCAGCGTGATGGCAGCGAACGAGAGAGGCAGATTGCGGACCCTCAGCAGCGGCATGCGTTGATTGTACAGGCAGAAGATCATGCCGGCAACGACAAGAAACGTCCATACTGCGGCAAACGTGATGTAAAAGATGCCGAGCGAGTCCCAGTTCGGCTTCGCGGAGGGCAGGTTGTAAATCGTCAGGCTCTGAGCGTCCATTGTGGCAGACCCTGTTCAGAGAAGATGATGATGATGATGTGAGAAGAAAATAGATGATATTGCTCGCTTGCTGTCACGATGCATGGCGTGAGAGGGGCAAGGCGAATCTTATACACTGCCGGAATAGGTCGGACAAAGCGGTTTGTATTGGTTGTATAGCCGGCAATGTACAAGGGTAACCTCCTCGAGTCCTCGACTAGCATGGGCATGGGCAATGCCCCACACTCCATAGATCGACTAACAGATGCCACTAGACATCCATTCAGTTCGCGCGTACCTGACATGTCGCCGGCCAAGAAAGCTAGTCTGCCTAGCTCATTCCCTGGTTCGCATGATGCTGCACTTGGCATGAATCGGTAGTTGCCGATCAGTCCAAACCCGCAATCCCTTCCCCCATATATCCCAGCGCTTGCATTCCTGGGCCGATGATGCTATAAAATCCCCCTGATATAGTTCAGAACCACGGTTTGGATAGAGAGCGTTGTAGAGTAATCTGGAGTATGGTAATAGTGAGGCTGGCGGCAATGGCGATGGCGATGGCGATACCCGACACGCGGTAGAGGCTTTCCTTTCCCATCCATCATGCCGGGTGGGTCCCCTCCCCCGATCTGCACATCCTAACCCAGATCTGGGTCCCGCGGCGGCGGCGGGCTGGCGTTTGACACACAGGTGACATCTTCCATGACTCGGGGGCGGCGGGCGGGCTGTAGGTCACAGTGACATTCGCGCACGCTATGTGATTATTCTCAATTGAGTTTTGCGAAAAGAAAAGTTTCAGATCAGGAACGTCGGTCGGTTGGTGGCATGATGGAATATTCGGGGGGAATCTGCACTGCATTCCACAGCCATGGGATGATCAGATCTGTCAGATATTTCGAAAATAGGCACGCTTGTGGACCGTGCCACCACCACCCGTATGCGTGGGATGATGCGCGATCTGACAAATTGATCGGTATGTATGATATCGTGATGGCATTTATTTTTTTTGTTTTTTGGGGGGCTTCACATTGCACTTTTCTGCCGTCCCGTGTTGTTTTGTTTATCGTTCATTACACATCACTCTCTGCTGGTGAGGAGGTGCTGCTCTCATCACTCACTTAGCATGACCTGATGCCAGTGCCAGTGCCAGCGCCTAGGATCAAGGTATCGTGGTCAATAGCGCGCTCCTCCTATAACAAACGCCCTTATAGAACCAGACCACTCGCACTAGCTCCAAACAGTACTGGGCCAGAAACTTTATACATGGAACAAGCACTCTCACACAACAACACGCCGACTTACGGCCGGGACAGACCCTTACCTCGGAGAACGACGACGACGTGTACAGAAACAATTTTATTTTTATGTTTTTTACCCTTATTCCTCCACGTCCCACAATCTTGATTTACTCGTTGTGGGAATGTAGATTTGTCGTGTGTGCTGGAAGTATGGATCACTCTAGCCTAATCCGGACTGGCCAGTGCCAGGCGGGGGGCCCGAACGGCCGGTAGAAGTGGCAGAATAAGTGCCGCTGTCAGTTGTGCACCTTAATCCGACGCCCGAGACGCCGGTACCTGAGGTCCCCCGATCCTTAGCGGATGTCACATCGACCAATCACAACGGACACATTGACGTTCACCGCCCGCTCGATCGGTCCTGGCGTGACACCCTTCTGGGAGCGTATATGCGGACATGATCGGCCCTTGAGAAAAATTCAGATCGGCAATTCATTATTGGAATTTTTCGACGTGCGTGTGTCTTGTTTGCCAGAAACGCCATCGCCTTCCCGTCAATGACTCGAGATTGGTTCAGGTGCTTAAGCTTAACCGTCGTCAGTACCACGCGGTTTGTTCCCCTGCCTAGGTGCCTAGGGGGAGTATCCGGTCTCTGGTCTGGCTCTCAACTCACGAGGTAGATTGAGCTAGACACGCTGGTCTGTCTAGCGATAAAGACGCAAGCATATGTTGTGGGTCTCCTATGTGTCTGAATGAGATTGCCGATGAGGCTATGTAGCGTTTCTGTGGTACCCCGCGGATCGCCTAAAAGGGCCAAGATGCTTGTGGATATTCTGGCTGTGTATATCGGCAATGTGAATGCATGGCGATGCCGATAGGAAGGGGATGCCAAAGCTGCGGACGGGGAATGTATTTGCGGTTCGTATTCATATAGGGGTAATGGATGGCGGCGCTGGTAACTGTGGGAACGGGGCACGCGATGGATGAATGCCTCAGGCTACACGACTTGTGGTGCACGTGACACGCTTTTTACCATCAAAGTCCCAGTCCTGAGTACCGACTGTCATCTCATGCATGCCAGACTCATGACAAGCTCTGACGAGAGAACAACACAACAGCTCAATCAGTGTCCAGTCGTACGTATTAGAACTACAACACACTAAGCAAATGCGAGATTCCATTCTATCCCGCGCGGCTCTCAGAAGACCTCTCAGGATGCCTCACTGCTCGGAATGCAGTCCACGCCAATATCTCCCGTTATGTTATCACATACAATCTCCGAGGGACTCCCTACCGGGCTCGTGATGTTGATCTTCTCCAGATGGATCCCCGTGCACTCGGCACCAGGACTACACTTCAGCTCCGCGACCACCTTGCCCTCCTTGCCCGACGAGCTGCCATACACGTTTATGAACCTGACATCCGTAATGTTGACCCTGCTCGGACTGGCCGCGCAGACGGTCTCGTTGATGTTGAAGTAGCACTGGTCCAGCACGATGGGATTGTCCGTGTTCTCGATGTGGACGTCCTCGTACGTGACGTTTGAGATGTAGCCGTAGCCGACGTTTGGCCCGGCCCAGGCCTTCAGCCGCGCCCCGTTCTGGCCGTTGAGCAGGGTGACGTTCTTGATGTATGCGTTGGAGATGTAGTCCTTGACGCCGGGGTATTGGCCGATGGAGCCCATGGATACGCCGTGCGTGCCGTTGCACCACAGGTTCTCCACGTGGATGTTGGTTGTGTTTGGCTTGGGCGAGAAGCAGTCGTCGCCGACGTTGACTTCTGTGTTGAAGACGTTGAAGCCGTCTACGTTGTAGGAGTCGAAGCCATCCGTGTTCTTGGGCAGAGCCTATGCTTGGTCAGTCTGAGACGGGGTAAGTATGGGAAGGTATACTGACTGAGATATTAGTGCTGAACGCATCTATCCGGACTCTGTCAAACGTGACGTCCTTTGTGCGCACCAGGAATGTCGTCCAGCAGGGCGAGTTGAGGAACTTGATGCCCTCGACATCCACGTTCGTCGCATTGTCTGTCAAGAAGAGGATCGGGCGATAGAACGTGTTGCCCGGGTCCAGGATCTCCTGCCCGGCAAACCCATCGTACCACTTCTGGCCGTTGCCATTGATCGTGCCGGTGCCGTAGATGCGGATGTCCCGCCCGCCCCACACCCAGAACGTGATGGACTTCTGGAACGGATAGTAGAAGTTGTTGGCCTGCCAGTAGTCGAGGTCGTCGGTGAACTGCAGCAGTTAGTCCTGGTATCACGGTCACGTTGGTGCGCAACAGTCAAGTCCTACCTTAATCTCGCCGTCGAGCTTGACGTACACGTCGTTGAGGAAGCTCAGGTCGAGCTTCTTGCCAATCACATATGTTTTGCCCTTCTCGAGGTGCAGCAGCCCGCCGTGGTTGGCCTTCTTGATGGCCCAGAGGAAGTCCGAGGAGATGTCGTCGCTGTCGCTCTTGGACGCTCGTATCTTCACCACCCGTCTCCGGTGCTCCTTGTGGTTCCCCCACTTGTCCTTGTCCTTGTCCTTGTCCTTGCCATGGCCGTTGTTGCGGTTCTCGACCGTGGTGCGCGGATACTCAATTGAGGCCCCCGCAGGCGTCGCCGAGCTGATTGAGAGCGCATACGCAGCAGAGATCCCAACGGACAGAAGACTAAGAAGCTTCATAGTAGCGGTATCACGACGAAACTTGGCTGATTCCCTTCGAACAACGCTCCGTCGACCCACAAGGTACCAACCCGAATTTATATCCCTCCGCCCCTGTAGTAAAGCCCCCTGCCTGCCTGCCTGCCTTACGCACATATTATTCCATCGCCAACACTGCATAGCCGATGCCTGGATCCCTCCCCCCCCATTCCAAATCGCTAACGGCGCTCACCATTAATTTGCAGAGCTCGCATGCCCACACAAGCAATCGGTGACGGAGCCTGGGGGGTGCGTGCTATAGGACACTCCGCACACGAAGATCATGGCCGTCAAATCTTGGTAATGGAGGCTAGGGATCGGAAGCGCTGGTGCGGTCTTATTGGTGTATCTCCCGATGCGCCCTGCATGCGGGCGTGTGGGCGTTATTTGCGGAGGCGCGTGAGATGCGCGGGTTCCCCAGATCCGGTCGCAAATGTTCCGCCAATGGGCGTGGAGGAAACGCGATCCTACTAGTTCGTGCCAAGTGTGTTTTGGGAAACAGGGGCTTGGTCGTGTTCTGCCTGGTTTTGGTGATGGTCTCTGTGTTGGGTGGTAGGACTGTAATGAGTGACGTCAACGACGCTGGCTTTCATTAAATGGGCATACATGGAATTTATAGGATGTCGTCCTAGTCCCACAACGGCAAGCATGCTTTCTTGATGGCATGCAAGGGGGATGTAGGTGAATTTATATACTAATTAAATCATTGTAATAACGACTGCCGATGCTCGAGATTCACACAGAGCTCCGCACCTTGCAAGTTCAAGCCTGCTAATCAAAGCACCATCAAGCAAATCCGCCACTGATCCCACGATATACATGACAGGTATATAGCGAGGCTCAACACAGTCTGCACAAATTGGCTTCGCTGAAGAGACGAGTTATGTTTTTCGCAAAGGCGCATCTAGTAGAGTGCGCCTTCGTCAACTCTGGCTATATACTATCAATATGGTCGTTATTGACTATGGAACTACCTCACTGATGCTTCATACGTCTGTATTCGAATCTTGATTCGTTTTTCTCGTCTTTGTCGTTACACGCTGTATTATAATACCCAGACGTGGCTTAAGCTCGACGACTTATATACTTCATGAAAATGATGGTACCGCAAATATGGATCTCTTGTATGGCTATCATCAAGTTCCCCGATAGCGCACTCTGGGCTTTAGAATTTGGTGCTTGTTTTGCTCTTATGTGACTTATCGAGCGTTATGACCTGTTGAAAGTTGTCAGACTCTTGATTTCATCATATATATATATATATCATAGTGAGCAGAATTCTGGAATATCCTAGTTCTTGGACGCACTGCTGCATGTCAAGCATTCTGCGGCTCCTTTCACGTGTGTTTATCTATTTTCCTCTCGCGTTCCTAGCGCTGACGCACTCTGAGTGTTAGATAAACCAGATCATGCATCTTGAGCCAAGCGTGTTACTCCATGTCTGTTATGTTTAGCTGTCCTATTCTCGCTCTGACGAATACTCGATTTCTCAGATACCAAGCAAGCTGACGTAACGCAATCAAAGCACAACTAGATTGACCAACTACCTATGCCCCAAAGACAAGAAGATATGCATAAGACAAACCCCCATCGCAAACAGCACCACCAGAAACACGACCATGCAAAGTAAAACGAGCGTGCCATCCAGTTCCAAAAGCACAATCGTCATAATCGCCAAACAACCCCCCCCCCCTTTTACCCCTCCCCCCAATCCCCATTCAAACCCCCTAACAAGCAGTAATCTCCAACTCCATCCCCTCCACCTCACACGCCTTCACCGCCCTACACACCGACTCCGAACACCCAGCCGCCCCATTACACGGATCCGGACACACGACCCCGGGACACGACCCCGGCCGACCGGGCCACTTATCCGCCGCCGCGAGCCTGAACTGCGGAAACTGCGTGTTCGTGGCCACGTCGCTGACGTCGTAGTAGATGATGCCTTCGGCGACGGTGTAGTCGAAGTTGATGGGGTGGTTGAAGTTGAAGTTGTTGGGGTCGGAGGTGGAGCTGGTGAATTTGATGACGTTGCCGGGGTGGGCGTCGTCGAGGGTGAGGGTGGTGTTGGCATTGGTCTCGATGGGGATGGGGTCGGCGGGGGAGGATTGGGAGGCGGGGGAGTCGGGGCGGAGGGCGATTTTGTGGGGGCAGTTGTTTTGGATGGAGAGGGTGGTGGCGTGGGAGAGGGGGAGGAGGAGGGTGAGGAGGGTTGTGGGGAGGAGGGAGTGCATTTTGGGTTGGTGGTGGGTTGATGTTGGTTTGGTGTTGGTTTGGTGTTGATGTTGATTCAGTGTTGATTGAGTATCGAAGGACGATAGATGGCGTCTTCAGAGAGTCCGATCGAGCGTTTTATATATTGATATGCGTATGTGTCCGCGTATGCGTCTTCGTATGCGTATGCGTCTGTAATTGTGTCCATCCACAAACAAGCGCACCCTCTTACCCCTTTATATATCCCACCCCATACCCCTTCAAAACCAAAACAACCCCAGCTGAACAGCCCATTCCAGTACCCAAAACGTCTATATCCGAACTCGCACCATCCCAGCAGTCCAGATCATACACCCACCACAGCCTCATTTCTCCTCCACCACCGCGCCTAAGTCCTCGCCATCCAATCCGCGGAAACACTCACACTCACATCCACACTCACACACATACCACCACAATAATCCAAGCACACACCCTCCAAGCGCCACCCTACCACAGCCTCCTCCTCCTCCTCCCCCGGGTACAACCATACACTAACTCCAGCACAAAGCCGCATTCCAGTATCTACCCACCCACCTTACGCAGCAAACCCCGCTGGGTATATGCCTGTCCATTCCAGATCTGAAAATAGCGCTGCGGCGACACAGACGCCCGTGCCCGTGCGGCGATACATACATGCAGTACTACCCGCGTAGTGTGTGTCTGGAATAAGACTTATTATAAGTTCTGGTGGGAGGGGTTATCCATGTAGGTAGGTAGGTAGTAGTAGTAAGGTGCGGGTGGGAGGTAGATGCAAGGGAGGTGGCGTGCGGCGTGTGGCGTGCGGCGGCGTTGGAAGGAAAGAGAATTTATAGATGAAGGAAGCAAGGGAAGCGATCATCGCTATAAAAAAAAATTGGCACGCACGGAGAAGGAAGAGGAGTGTGACGGTCTGCGACGCGTTGTTACATGGATTATACATACTTGTTACAGAGGCTAGAGATGAGTGGGCTTAATGAGTGCTGGACCGATGCGATGCACGAGTGATATATGAATGGGATGTATGGCAAGGTAGTGTTAGTCTTTCATGGTTTACACTGTCCAAAGGCGCCCGACATATCTAATAAGAAGGAACTTCGGTAAATTTGATATGATAAAGTTGATTAATATATCTAACTAGTCTAACTACTACTTATATATATAGGCCTAGTATTAAATAAGATCTATGTAATAGAGATAATACTTATCTACTCTATCTATTCTATTTACTCTATCTATACTAATAGAAGCTTCTTCTCTAAAGTAATATCTTTATCTAAAATATCTTTATTACTCTAAGTATCTTATTATTCTAAACTATATCTTTATCAAATTAGATTATAAGCTTTTACTAAATACTAAAAAGATAATAAGTAATATAGAGTAGAGATTTAAAAGTAATTAGAACTTAAATTAAATACTATTCTAAGCTCTCTCTAATTATATAGTTATAATAAAATATAGTAGACCTTCCTTTCTTCTACCTTTGGGCGGTATTCTTCATCTATCAAACGATATTCTTATCTAGAATTACCTTTAAAGACTTTTTCTATTACTAGATACTTCCCGACCAACGATCATGAGATTCGAAGCGATCACAATCGCTAGCTGAACTTACCATGTTCCTAATTGTTCGCTGAATGCAGAAGTGAACAAAATTCATATCCCAACTCCATATGCTATGCTGCAGTAAGACATTATTCATTCAGGCTCTAAGCCATTCGAAAACCAGGGTGCAAATGTCTCCTCGACCCACCTGAAAATAACTCTCAGTACCTCTAAGATGGTATAACACCCAATGATATCAGCTGTAGTGCCAATATCTACAGCATCAATGAGACGAATCTCGTCCCTCAAATCACTAGCAAAATACAACTTCCAGCGGGCGTCGGTGACCAACAAGAGAGGGAGCGTTATAGCCACAGGATCCTGTATGAGCTGCCGCAGGCGGTTGAAGTAGGCCATTGCCCAGAGGGAAAGGTGGACTTCGCCGTCCTCATTACCGCCACCGGGGGACTTTGTTTCAATGCTAAGAACGACAGGTTCATAGCAGAGAGGTGAGTAATCAGACGGGTTAATGGTGCGCTTGAGCTTCGGCGAAGAAGCAGCGAGGCGACTGATGACATGTGCCATTGAAACAAGCGGAGGGCCGAGGGTGACAGCATAGTCGATCATCTTACCTCTCAGAAGCTCCCCATATTCGTTACCTGGCACAAGCTCTTTGATTACTCGCGCGGTGGTGATATTGTAACACGAAAAGCCAGCATGGCCAAGGGCGGCTTGCTTCAGCATCGGGCCATGCACAAGTTCGTTCCAGCTCGGCTCGTGTAGATGCTTCAATTTGCACGCTGAAGTCTCGTTCCGAATCTCTCGCATGGCTTTGAATTCGTCCTTTAATTGTTCGTAGGTTTTTTCACTTGCTGTATTTGCAACGTAATCCTCTAGGTCGTCAAGGTCACCGCAAGTATCCTGTTCTATTTCAGACTGGTAGATTATTAGCTAAAAGACCCCGGAAAATGTATCCAGTAATCGTGCCTCGATACCCAGTGGAATGACGCCTTTCGACCGCCGAGCCAGCGCTTGAATTGTCTTATAGAGTCCTCTCACGTCATGTGGAACGTCTGTGCTGGATGTTGCTGATCTGGGGATTACAGGCTTCTTAGCGATTTGAAGATCAACCATGCGTCGAGTTGGACTAGGCGATCGTTTGGAAGTGGTTGATTCATAGGCTGATTGAGCCTCAACGTTTTCAGCATTCTCATGCTCTTGATCCTTTGATGTACTAGGTGTCAAGACCGGTCCCGGTCTTGTATGTAAGTCCAAGGCTGACAGCGATGGAGGTACTGCGCGCTTCCGAAGAGTCCGCCGCGGTGTCGCATTGGGAACCACGACACGCTGCATCGCAAGGATATCATGCTCCATTGATAGAGCCTCTGTATTTGAAGTCCGTGCCTCGCGTGCTATACAGGCCTGCCTGCTCGACTTTCTTGTTGGCGACTGTGAGCTCCGTGACATTTTGCGCCCTGGCACGCTGAGCGCTCGTCGTCGCTTTTGGTTCGCATAATCGATTTCGAAGAGCGCGGCGAGTACTCGTTTCCGTGGAGCGAGTGATGAGTGCGTGAAGGAGGGCGAGGAGATAAGGTAGGTAGCAGATGCAGGCTGTCTGCGTGGTCTTCGCAGATACTCAGCAGGGATTGTGGGGTTGGGCGGCGGCTCTATGTCACCCCTAGCAGCGCAGACGTTGGCCAGCCATGTGTCTGCACAATTCATGGCCTCGAGAGCGGAGGAAGATCGGAGTGACGATTGTAAATGTGCGGAGAGAAACGTGTAAGTCTGAATATAGATAATGATGAAAGAGTCATGACGAGCCGTGAATTAGTGTAGTAGGATTGCTTTGGTGTTGATAAACTAGGCCGGGATAGGATGGATCAGATCGGCTAATTCTCGGAACAGTTCACTTAGCAACTCGATATGTGTGCTATGATTGCCATATTTATCTCAGAGGTGTAATGTAGCTATGATGTCCGCAGATGCCCCCGAAGATCCACGCAAGACCTTGACGAAGCGTAAAGTCAATCTATTCGAAGCGTTTGCGGTTGATAGCGGTTTGTTTAAACGTACGCTCTTCACCTATATTGATACCAATGAGCGAGCATGGGCCGGCGAGGCCTTGGAAATACGGAAATTCGATCTGACCGACGCAGACCTTCGGAAGAATCTGCGAGAAGTTCCTGATCACGATGCGTTCCCTAAGATGGACCAAGGTGTCACTCTACTACCCCAACATGCTGATATCACCAAGCTGTTCCTGAAGCGTCCACAGATACATTGTTTGCTAAGGGAATTTGGTGGAAGCATCGTTCCGCAGATGTTTCGGGAAGAGGTTCAGGTGTTGGAATTCCTGGCTCAACATCCGCATCCTAATATTGTGCCTTACCACGGCTGCGTGGTCAAAAGGGGATACATAACTGGCATCGCTCTTACCCGATACCAAAAGATCCTGGATCATCGATTCCACGACGACGCGTCGGGACTCGATCTTGATCGATTTGAACGCAAATGTCAAGATGCTATCAAGCATATCCATGCCCTTGGCCTCGCTCACAATGACCTCAATCCTTCCAACATTGCACTCGACAGTAATGATGATCCAATCCTCATCGATTGGGGATCGTGCAAAGAATTTGGTGGATCCCTTCTATCAGCTGGGACACCCGGCTGGATAGATGATGACTTTGATATATCTAGGAAAGAGCATGATCTTTCGGCACTAGATAAGATAATGGCGTGGATGAAGGTGGAGAAGGCGAAGTGTACCGAACGTTGAAGTAGAACATCTCTTCATTTAGATGTGGCTGAAGTCTGCTTGACCAAAACGTGCTAGCCGTACCTTAAACATCCTTTTCGAACCCGAGCGCCTCACAAGGCCTGACTTGACTCTAACGGCCCCTAATTAATTAATTACCCAATAGATCTGTACCGCCTTCACTACGGAGCACCAGTGACCTGTCCAAGGACATTCGAGGCTAGTGTATATAGTAGTCAACGTTACACACCACCATATGCTAGATGCACGTGACGGTATCTTTGTAGCCTAATGCAGGCATCTGTTAAGCCCCGATGGACCTGCCCTGATATACGCGGCCTCTTCCCAACTTACATATTACCATTACTCTACCTCTACAATCCAAACACTACCAACCATACCTGCTTCACATAAGAGCCTGTCCCGGAAATGGGCCTCCAAGACAAGTTCCCAGACGTACACTGGATCTGGAAAGGCGCCATCTCCTATGTGTACGAGGTTCATCCTCAGATTGTGGTCAAGGTCCCCAAATCAGGAGATTTTGAGAGAGAGCAGTTTAGAAAAGAGCTCGGAATATATGATCTCTTCTCCCGTTCCGCTCCGTGTGCTTCGGTGGTACAATGTTTCCACAGGGCGGATAACGGCATATTCCTCGAATACATGCGGGGTGCGGCCCCTTCCGCAACATATTTAAATCCATGGTGGTGGGGCTTTTACTGACTAGTAGTACCTCACCAGATATTTCCCTACACTCCAGACTACAATATAGCCAGATCTGGGACCATCGAAATGTGGTGGTAACAGGCGTCAAGAAGCTAGAGCCCCTGAGCCTTCGAAAGCAGTGGATGCAAGATCTCACCCAGGCCGTTGCATTCCTTGAATCGCTCCATCTCGCGCACGGCGATCTTCGACCGGAGAACATCCTCCTTGATCGCGACCGGCTGAAGCTCTCCGACTTTGATTGCACGGCAGAAATCGGAGCAGACTTCGAGGCTTGCACGCCACCATACGGCAGGATACTCAACAGCAGCGAGGCCGAACATGGAGCATGCGGAACTTCCGGCTGTCTCGGCCCGCGAACGGAGCAATTCGCCCTCGGTTCGATATACTATCTGATTAATTACGGCTTCGAGGTCTATGGGGATCAGACGCTGACCGACGACCATCGGGAGCGCGGACCGAGGATAGTCGATCTACTGCAGCACATGCAGCTCCCTGACCTGGCCGGTGACGATCCGTCCATCGACGCCATCATCGACAGATGCTGGCACAACCAATATCCCACAATCGCGGACTTGGCAACTGCCACAACAGCACTGCTGCTGCTGGGTTGCAACAAATCCGACGCAATCATCGCCCAGGAAATGGTAAATGGCGCCCAACAGCAGATTGTCGAACCCGGCCGGGACATGCCTTGTTGCGGCCCTGCTCCGACCGGGGCATTTCTGAGAAATAAGGCGATATGCGAGGATTTGGACAGGCGGGGGCTACTCGACCTGCTTGCCACCAACGACCCCGAGCAGCTTGGACTTGCGTTGGCGTGGTACAGATATACTGCCTAGATGACGGAGCATCCCTTACACGGAATACCGTCCAAAGGCAGGCAGTCTTCGCCCGCGAAACACGAAAGCAAACACTCAGTACCAGCCGCGCCAAAAAGCAAAAGCCGGAAGACACAACCCCTGAGCCCCATGTATGACCAGCTCTGGGCCTCCGGGCAAGGCTGTGAGGCACCTTCATTTGAAAGGGGGGGGGGGGGGGGCAGGCAGGATCGAGCACAAGCCGTTCTCCTACGTGGTAATTAATTTAGCGGAAAAGTCCAAATTGTTTTTTTGGGGGGGGTTTTGGCATGAACATCCAGGCGAAGAGTGAACAGTGACGTTTCCGGAGAAAAGGGGTGTGAAATCGCTCAATTCAATGTATCGGCTATGTTTGTTGTGTCTTGTCTTGTCTTTCTCGGAGAGCGCCGTCCACTTGCCACACCACCCAAACACCAAAGATCAACAGAAAACACCAACGGGCTGGTTGGTCACTCCCCTTGCCGCTCAAAGTGCCAACGTATCCATCCATCCATCCATCCATCCAGTAACCAACACGTTTCAGCCGGTGAAGCTGTCAAGCAGTAGTAAGATTCATGGATGTGTGTTCCGATAGCGCTGTTCCCATCTTCCACATTCATGAATCCATCGGCAGTTCTATACAACACTGGTGGAGGATTCACACGTCCGCTGTTGCTATTTCCAATTTTTTTTATAAAGAAAAACCCCCCAAGTCCCGGGCTTTTGACGACTTTCTTTCTTTCTTTCTTAGGCACCACCAGACGCGCGCCGCACGGTGTCGATCCATGGATGGATCCATCCATGTACGGATTAGTGAGACGAGGTTAAGGCGCCCAACTCCTCTTGTTAATCCATGGATTAGTCAAGAAAGGTTAACAGGACATCATCTTACGTCTTCATCTTACATCCACCCTACACCCACAATCACAGTCACGAAACAAGCAAAGCACAAGCACTGCAACAAGTACAGTGAAAGAAGCATTAATCAATAATTTCGTAATGGTATCTCTCAAGCATAACAACACATTATAATCGTCTGTCCGTAAACAAACATGCACACACACACAACTCCAACCACATCTATTAGCAGATCCGCGCCGGGCAGGCGATCTGGGTGCCGTATGGATCGGGACCGGCGATACCCACGACCTGGAAGAGCGCGTTGATGACGCCGCCGATACCCTCGCCCGCAATCAGACCGGCCGCAATGGCATAGCCGTAAATGTCAAAGCTCTTGGGGTTCTTCTTGGCCCAGTAGTAGGACGGGATGGCGCCGAGACACATGGCGGTGCCGTAGTAGGTCTGCGGCAGCACAAAGGCGAGACCAATGCACATCATGTTGGGGTGGTATGCGCGCATCCACTCCCACTTGCCGACCCACAGGAAGTGGCGCACAAAGACCATGGCGGAGCCGAAGATGGCAAACACAATGGCGAAGATGCCGGAGCTCTTGGGGATCGGGAAGGTCGGGTCGGTGACGGCGACGGCGGTGGCGCGCCACGCAGCGACGGACGGCACGGAGAAGGGGCAGATCTCAATCTCGGTGTTGAGGATGCATGGGTAAGCGGAGGCAAAGAGCACGAACATGGCCGGGGCGAGGAAGATGGCGACAACTGTACCAACCCCCTGCGCGATCCATTGCTGGTTGGGCGGTGTACGGAGCAAGAAGCCAGTCCGGAAGTCGCACACCAAGTCCGTGGACTGGTTGGCACCCATGTTGGCAATCGCACCACCAAGCAAGTTGAGCTTCTGGGCGTGCGCCTGTTCCCATCCCTCACCCTTGGTAGCGCCACCGAGCACAATCTGCGAGGCCTTGGAGGCAGCAGTGAGCGGCGTAATGTCGGTGACACCAGTGCACTGGATGGCGAGGAAGGAGAAGAAGAAGGTGAGCACGACGGAGAGGAGCGACATGCCGATGGGCATGTCGAATTCCACACCGAGCACGACGCAAATGCAGATGATGGACAGGATGAGACCGGGGGACCACATCCACCACTTGACTTGCTCCTCGACCGGGGCAGGGTCCTCGACCAAATCATTCACTTCCTGCTCAGCACGCTTCTCGAACCACGGCATTTTCTTGCCCAGAGCATGGCCTGCGGCAGAGATACCCTGGCAGGTCCCACGGAAGACGGCGCGGAAGGCAAAGAAGATGATCTTGTACTGCAGGAACAGCTCGGTAAAAGACACGGCAATCATGAGAAGAACACCGGGCCACAGAAGCCAGTAGCGGGGTGACGGGGTGTCCTTGTTGGAAAAGGCCTTGCTGAGAGAGGCGTAGGAGATGTAGCCAGACCACTCCGGACCATAGCCATCCTCGACGCTCGCAGCCGGGCGACCAAAGGCCATGCCCTGGGCGACGAGTGAGGGACCGATGATGCCCCAGGCGATGACAGAACCCATGAAGAAGGAGATGGACACGTTGAGACCGACAAGCATGCCGGAACCGATAAAGGCCGGAGTGAACTCGATGATCCAGCCCCAGTTCTCGGCAGCAAGGGCGCTGTTGTTGTAGTTGCCCCAGATGAAGAACCAGGTGAAGACGTGCCAGTCCCACAGGATACCAATAGCGTACTGGGAAACGACACGGAGCACCAGCGCAGCCGAAAAGGCAGCAGAGAGCGCCCTCATCTTCAGCTTCGCGATAGCCTCGCCGGTAACAGCCTCGTGCATGGAGCGAATAGTCATGGCAGTAGCCGAAGCAGTAGGGAAGATGAGACGAAGCTCACGAGCAACGTAGATGACGAAGAATTTACGGAGAGGGGTGGCGAAGAAGAAACCAAAGTAGCCACCGACGGCAGTCAGAGAGACAATCTTCCAGTAGTCGGCCTTGGGGTTGTCGCCCATGAGATTCAGCTGGTAGAGAGCAGGAAGAGCGGAGACGAAGACGTTGGAGAGACCACCAGAAGCCATGGCAGCAGTCTGGACAATGTTGTTCTCACGCGGACCAAAGTTTCCACCAAGTATGGGGAAGTTCTCAGCGAAGGTGCGGGAGAAGAACTTGATGACGGCGAAACCGACAATGGCACCAAACAGGTTCGCAGTAAATGTCCAGCCAGTCTTCAGACCAAGGTAGACATTCGAAGCGTTGACGAGCGCACCACAGCAGAGACCAACAAAGACGGCTCTGATGGTCAGGACGCGGTGCTGCTCCGGCGGGAGGTTATCGAAGGGACGGAAGGGATCTTGCATGAAGCTGGCATTGCCATCAGCCTCCTTGTCCGCGTCGAGGTCTTCGTCGACCTCTTTCTCGGCGACAGAGTCGATCTCCTTTGACTCGATTTCCTTTTCATTGGAGGTCTGGGCGGGGTGGTTGAAGACGTCGTCCTTTTCCTTCATGGGCGAGCTGTAGCCATTGTTAGCTTGTGGTATTTTGGAGGACAGCGAGAAGTGTGCAAAGAGGAGGCGAGACATACACAGCAGGGTCAATGAAGCCCATTGGGGCCAGAGGCCTGTCGAGCACCTCGGTGGTACTCATGGTGTGTATATTGGCCGGTACCTGTGTCGAGTGCGGAGCTATCCAGACAGAGGAACAGCAGGCATTGCGAGTGGTGGTGGTGGGGGAGTGGAGGGTATAATATATATAGCGAGCGAAAAGGTGGGATCGGCCTCGGCAGACGCAGAGAGAGATAGTATGATTGAAAGATATTAGCTAGCAACAGTGAATTGGAGCAAGTCGAGTTGCCTCTATCGTGAAGGATGTCCGGGATGGGTGGATGGATGGGCACGGACCACATTGCAGATAATACAGATACAAGACATGACAAGACAAGACAGGGCACGGGAGACTAACAAGGGAGGGGGAAGGGGGGGGGGGTGGTCCAATTGCCCATTAACCGCCCATTAATGACCCGCCGATAGCCCGTTTTTTGCGTGTTCTAGCCCGCGTGAGACGCCGCTGAGTCGCTGATCTTGGGGGGGTACTGGGGCGTAAATGGGGCGTGATTGGGGGGCTTCTGCGGGCCTCTGAGACGCCACAATCAAGCGCCCCATGCAGCCCGTGCAGCGTATTGTTTGCAGCCGGCACCACCTCTTCTTCCATCACAGAGATAACCTTCTTCGAGAAGCGCTGCAAGACTCCACACCCACTAATTACGAACGGCGACGGTGAGTGACTACACTGAACTAGTCCAGCCTCCAAAACGCCCTTCCCTTATGCTTACTGCTATTAGACCTCGTATTCACCCTTCACACGACACGAAAAAGTGGCAGAAGAATGGCCGTTGTCGACGTTACGCGGGAGGCTTCATCCCGTATGTAGTAGTATGCGCCTATCCACGCCACCTCTCTCAGTCCCGACTGCATCATAACAACTGTCTCTGTCTCTGTCTCTGTGTACAATCATAATCACGACCTTCGCCATCGTGAGGACATGATAGGCGCCGTGTTGGAACCTGCTGCTTGAATGGGAATAGCTACGCCTCAATGCGCTACCTAAATGTTTGGTTCTGTTTGCTTGTCGGTGCCGGCGCTGGTGATGTTGCATCAAGACATACCGCCAAGTCCTGGACCAGCCAAGCACCGAGCGCCACAGACCAGGTGAGCTGCTGCAATGGCATCTCTGTGCAGTGTAGCGTGCGTAGTGTCGTGTGTGTTGTGTGTTGTGTATACCATACCACAACCACACTCCCGAGGAACAGACGGTAGATATTGTCGTTCGCTTATGACCCTGTAATTAGCATGGCAGATCTCGGCGTCCACCGTGCGCTCATCATCTTTTTCTTCTTCTAAACGACACCAAGCAAGAGTATTCGGCCCGCCCACCACCTCTCAAACATAGCTCGCGTGCCCTGTCCCTGCCATCCGGCCTTCCCTCGAACGGCTCTGTTAGTTATCTGCAGCTCCATGCCAGGGGCCACCAAGCGGCCCACCCATCCATCTACCTATAAGTCTGTCTGTCTCTCTGCCCGCTCCGTCCCAGACATTATAGCCCTGTTCATGCACAGCAGCCTTAGCAGCTTCTGCTCGCGATCGTAGCGCCCTCCACTTTTTTTCTTCTGTTTGGCCAATTTAGTGCGAGTCGAGAGGATGGTCGGATCTGGATAAAGGACCCTTGGACGAATGGCTGGATGGCTGGAAGGAGGCTGGAATGGGGACGAAAAGGTATCACAGCAAGCGACGTCGTCGTCGTCGGGTCAGCAGCGTCGTCTCCGGCTTATCGCACATGGTGTCGCACAGACTCTTATGTCCCTGTTGTTCTGTGTCTGGGATTGAGGTAGCTGGGTAGGTAGTTAGGTAGCTAAGTAGACAGACAGACTGCTTCACTGTGCCATATCAACTCCACAACGCAAGGCAAGCAGAGGCAACATCTCGCAGCTCAACCGACAGACAAGAACAAACGCGAACACTCCGGTGGCGTATAATTCACTTGCTGACAATCATCGTTCGTTCGTTTCGTTTCGTTTGTGGGAGGTTGATAGAAAAAAAGGCTGCGAGCACAACGCCTCCGAAACACCCAGCTTCCTCTTCCGGTATCGCGCTATATCATTATCACCTTACCTCTAGCGGCTGCTCCGGCCGAGGTATACCAACCAACGCTACCTACCTAACCTACCTGGTTAGCTCGTTGTTGATAGGTGCCGCCGCCGCCCCGCCAAAATGAATTGCTTCATCTCATCCCATCCGTTCGTTCGTTCCACAGTAGTCGCTATCCATCAATCATTTCTTCTCATTCTTATTGCACAACATCCACACATCCCACAATCCAACACTCGCTACTTATTGAAGCCAAGACCCAGTCCGTCACTCTAACTTACAGGTCACGCGGCACGCGACTCGACCTGAGAATTGGAAGGTTAGTAAAGTGATATTACCCAACAGCCTCATATAACTACCCGACAAAAAGGTATTCTGTATCTCGCATGGCGCTTATTCGCGGTTCTGTGTTCTCTATCCATGTCTCGACTTGTTGTTCTAGCCCCGACTTCTTTCGTTTCCCCCCCTCCCCTGGGTCGCGAGCGAGCTGTTGGGCTGAAGAATGGGAAGGCTTGATGCCGCGATGAACGACTCATGCCGCTGTTGTGTGCCCTGACAAGACGAGACAAGACGAGGCAAGGCTCTGCCAAAGGTTGGCATCAGTCTGGGCGCACCGTTGATAGCCTTGCGCTCGTTCGGTGCGCGCAGTTTGAGTATCGTGCATGCTGATCAACATTCGAGTCTGGCCGAAGTTTTGCATAGTGATGCATGTGTCCCATACTACTCGTCTCGTTGTGATGATGCTATTTACAGGTGTTGTACATTTTATCACACATGGCTTCTTGTATTCTATTGTACACGCTCCTCCCGCGGAGAGCACTTCATATGCCTCGTGTGCGTCCGTCCCACTGGGCTCACTCAGCCCTTTCCCGAGACGCGCAGTCTCGATATTAATCTGGTACCGGTCGAGTGGAAAGTCAAGCGCGCAAAGAACGCTGTGCCTCGTCTTATCTTCCGCTTCCAAGGCCAGGGTCCTCACTCTCTGTTGATCTTGCCCTTCCAATCAGATGCAAAATCGCAGATTGCCTTTGCTCCTTGCTCCGCTGTTCGCTCGCGTCCGATCGCCTCTACAAAGTCGCCTTCCGGATCTACACGCCATCGTCAGTCATGTTTGCTGCTGATCATCCCACAACCCTGGATGATAAGAGTCCATGTAACGTCATATGTGGTGGCAAAATGAATCGCATCAACCGTAGAAATCGTTTGGCCTGACTCACCCATGAGATAGAAGTAGATGCTGTGGTCCACCAGATAGTCCTGTCCAGGCTTGAGCTCTGGCGGGGTACTGAAGTAGACCCTGTACGCCTTGCACACAGCCTTTACGTTGTCGTAGTCCCCAGTCAGTCCAACAATGTCAGGGTGAAACTCTGCTAGATACTTCTTGACCACTTCTGGTGAGTCGCGCCAAGGATCACAACTGATGAAGACTGCTTTAAGGATGTTGCCCTTCTTCTGCTTCACAATGTCAATCATCTGCGCCATCTTGTCAAGTTCATCTGGGCAGATATCCGGGCAGTGCGTGAATCCGAAATATATCTGTGACGCTTGTCAGTCACATATCCTAGGACCTGCTTCTCCATGTCGAATTGCAGCTCCCACTAGCTTCATCCGAGTCCATGCAGTCCTCGATTGAAAGAAACGTCAACGCGACTGACCAGCGAATATTTGCCCTTGAGATCATCCTCCGTGAATATGTTGCCCTCACTATCCTTCAATTCAAATTTTCCGCCCACCAGCGGCTTCCCAATGCCTTTGTTCTGCTCCGCTATCCGCTGTCGTTGCATGCGTTCCTTCTCGTACTTGAAGTATACAATAAGGCCGGCGCCCGTGGCAAAGAAGAGTATGCCTGCTCTCCACGAGAAGGGCTAGATACCTGTAAGCTGGCGTCCTGGAATGCTATGCTTGCGGTGCGACCTACTCCAGATTCATTCCGAGCCTTGACTTGCTGGACCGTCTTCGCATGTTGTCTTATCGTACTGGAGAAAAGCCTATGGTGCGCTGAGGATGGCAATGCATTTCTGGAGATGCGCAATTGTGCGGCGACCGGTGTTGGTCTTCGGAATTGGCAGGACGTGAAATTTCGCGTGGATGGCTTGCAGATAGTATCGGAGGACGCCCGTAGCATTCGGAGACACGTTGCCGGCAGTCTCGATGAGCTCATACCGGATTGCGACATTTTGGTCGTGTTTGTTGGCGTCAAGTGCAATACGGTTCCATTCATCATCGCAAAGGTCGATTTCAAGCTCAAAAGCCAAAGCTCTGTCATATGTCCGTGCGCGCAGTAGTACGCTTTGCCTCAGGCATACACGCATAATCATCATCCCGATCTATCGACATTCCAGATCCCAGGTCATGACGTACACATCAACATTCCCGAACTTACTCGCGGGACAACTTCAAGCAATAAAACAACTGTACAATAATCCGCAGTGAGTTCGAACATTTCCGACACTATTTGGATGACATCCGTGGACAGTCTCCGCTTCCACGTCTCTCCAGTGGTTCTGTCTCTCGAATAATGACGACTACATATTTCCAATGACCCAGGGCCCATTATGCCACATCCAAACACCGCGCTGGGAGTCCTGTTCTGTATGTGACGTCGGCGTATCGATATTGCTCTCGGTACTTAGCACGTAGGCTAAAAAGGAGCAAGATGGTCAAACTGGATGCCTTATGGGCTACCCGGCACCGGCTTCCGACCATCTAGCCAATAATGCATTGTTTTATGACAATGGCTTGCCGGTACCGGTTCAAGCGAGCCTCCATGTGCATGCATTTCGTAGTGTGTACTCCACATTGCTTTGCATGTTTAGCACTTATTTCTCTACAATCAGCCCTGTAGCGGCTTTAGCTACACAATCGTCATTGTCGGTATCAGCGTTTCCGATATCCCCGGACTACGCCTTTGTATATAGACCTCGGGACCCCTCCTACCATGGACGCCTTCAAAGACGTTGACGAGGGCATAAGCATTCCCAAGGCTGACCTCGATTTCACTTGACTCTGCAAACATGCCTGAAGAGGTACCAGGCCCAGAATTGCCGCAACTGCACAAAGCAAAATCGTCCAACTCACGACGAACACGACGGGGCTCTTTAGATCTCCACCGCAACTATTCATTACATCATTTCGATGACCATTCAGTCTACCACAACCACGAGGAGACTTCAGATGATGACTCTACCGAGAGTGAAGCCGATGGGGAAGTCAAAGAAAAGGACGATGAAGTCGTGCCGGAGATTAGAAATGGTATTCCTGACGAAGTCGACGTCGAACGAGCGCCAAAAGAGCTAAGGAAGGAGAGATCGCGGCGGTCTATCAAAGACCCCAATCTCGTGTCCTGGGACGGTCCTGATGATCCAGAAAACCCAAAGAACTGGACTATGGGGAACAAATGGGGGGCTACTGTCATCGTGTCGTGCTTCACATTCATCTCCCCAGTCGCCTCTTCTATGGTCGCACCTGCAATCGGCACCATGATGCGCGATCTCAATGTCACAGACCAGGTCATCGGCCAACTCATGCTCTCCATCTTTGTGTTGGCCTATGCAGTTGGTCCGCTCATCCTCGGCCCTCTCTCCGAAATGTACGGCCGTGTCCCGGTACTTCAACTCGCCAACATGTTCTTTCTTTGCTGGAATCTTGGCTGCGGATTTGCACAGACATCCGGCCAGATGCTTGCATTCCGCTTCATGAGCGGTCTTGGAGGCAGCGCCCCCCTTGCCATCGGTGGAGGCCTGCTCTCCGACGTCTTCACAGCCGACCAGCGTGGTCGTGCAATCGGCATCTATTCTCTCGCACCACTATTAGGCCCAGCAATCGGGCCCATCGCCGGAGGCTTCATCACGCAAAACACCACATGGCGCTGGGTATTCTGGGCCACCACCATGGCCTGCGCCGTCATCCAGCTCTTCGGCCTCGTCTTCCTCCGCGAAACCTACGCCCCCATCCTCCTCGCCCGCAAAGCCGCCCGCCTCCGCAAGGAAACCGGCAACCAGGCCCTCCACACCGAATACGACAGCGACCTCAAATTCACAAAGAAGCTCTCCACCGCCCTCGTTCGCCCCTCCCGCCTCCTGGGCACCCAGCCCATCGTCCAGGTCCTCGCCCTCTACATGGCCTTCCTCTACGGCATCATGTACCTCGTCCTCTCCACCTTCCCCACCCTCTGGGAGCAGCGCTACCACGAATCCATCGGCATCGGCGGCCTCAACTACATCTCCCTCGGCCTCGGCTTCACCCTCGGCACCCAGGTCTCCGCCCCCCTCAACGACGCCCTCTACCGCCGCCTCAAGCGCAAGAACAACGGCGTAGGCCGCCCCGAGTTCCGCACCCCGATCATGGTCCCCGGCAGCATCCTCGTCCCCATCGGCCTCTTCTGGTACGGCTGGAGCGCACAGGCCCGCACCCACTGGATCATGCCTAACATCGGTGCTGCCGTCTTCGCCGCCGGCACAATCATCTGCTTTCAGGGCATTCAGACGTATATCGTTGATAGCTACACGCGCTATGCTGCCAGTGCGGTGGGCGCCGCGACGGTGCTGCGCTCGCTGGCTGGGTTTGGGTTTCCCCTGTTTGCGCCTGCGATGTATGCTGCCTTGGATTATGGGTGGGGGAATAGTGTGCTTGCGTTTGTGGGCATTGCGATTGGGATTCCGGCGCCGTTTATGCTCTGGACTTTTGGCGAGAGGCTGCGGAAGCGGAGTCAGTTTGCGGCTGGTGGTGGGTAGGCTGGGTCTTGTGATGCTCGGCAGTGATTTGGACGTGTGGTAGTTGGTTTGGATGGCGTAGTTTGATGATGCATTTGTTCGTGGCGCTTTTGGGGGATTGTTGGTATAGCATTAGCGTTGGCATGAGCGTGCATAATTTTTCAGCAGCAAAATACACTTAATATACCCCATTCAAGAAAACTTTCTTCATCGACAATCATCGTATATCTAGTGCACAAACAGCGACTAAGTCTCGGACAGACACAAGTCATCCATAGAGGAGGAATGAGTGGCAAGCGTGCCCTTTTCGCGTGCGATTCGTCGCGTTGCGTTGCATTCGCTTGTCATGCATCAGAACACTATGTATGACAAAACATAGTTTCGCGGGGATGATGCTCGTGGTGGTGGTAGGGATTGTCAGATTCGTTCGTGTGCCTGGCTAGGTGGCTAGCTAGTGGGCTAGGACATGTTTATCTTTATCTTCATTATATAGGGGATGAAACATATCGCGGACTTGGGAGGGACGAAAGGATAGAGTGCCGGGTGATGAGCTGATGTCGCGGGGAGCGATGACTGCTGAAGTTAGAAGTACGCAGGCCTGGACGCTACGGGTCAGCCAGATTGTGTGGGATAAACTGAGATAGCTATTCGAGTGGATTTGTCCCGGGACAGAGTGTAGAATATGGAGGTCAGGCTTGAGACACTTCGGGAGCAGAGTACCAGAGCTCACATCGCTGTGCATTGAACAATCAACATTTCGCAGCTGGCAAACGTATGGCCATCCACCCCCAGTCAAACATATCGTTGAGCATGATACATCCACCACCGTCACGCAAGAGGTCCCAGTAGTACACTTCTTCGATACGTTCCCATTGAATAGTGAACTTGCATAATGTAGCAACATGGAGATCCATTTCATGCCAAAGACAACAACGTCATGCCGGGCCAATCGGCCATATTGTGCCAGCCCATCCGATGCAAACTCCCCAAGCCGCTTCTGTTTTTTGTCATCCACGCTTTACTCCGCTCCCCATTTACGACGAGGTGGTTGGGCCACGGGCACCCTTTGGAACACCGGTGCGGAATCCGTTCTTCGCGCGGCGGGGGACGTCCTTCATGTGTCGCATGCGGCCAGTACCGGTGGTCTTTCTGCGCTTAGCCTTCTCGCCCCAGTTGTCTGCAAGTGTGTTAGTACAGAGCCTCTCCATGTTGCGTCTAGTTGTGTGGTGTATCGAGCGTTTGTAGAAAACCCAGTAAGACATGATGGGAGTATGAACGTACATTTGCGAATGCTGGCGTTGGGGTATCCGCAGGCGGCGCAGGTGTGCTTCTGGATGTGGAGGGCGCGACGTCCTGTGTTGCGTCAATCCGTCAGTACTGGTCTCGGCTATCCAATCTCGCGTGTATATCTCCAACAATGTACGTCGACTCCTCCTCTTTTGCATATGAAAAATTACTAACCGCAACGTCTGCAGAGCGTGTGTGTCTTGTTGTGGCGCTTGCCAAAACTTGAAGTTCCCTTCGCTATGGTAATCCGTCAGTCGCAATCATCCATCGAATGGCTAGTCGATCGAACGTACTCATCTTGGGCGGAGAACTACACGAGAATTAGCTATCAACCGGATTGACTGATTCGGTATATGTGGTTGTATACCTTTCTGCTTTGCTGGGTAGAGGTTAGTATTGGTCGGTGGGCGAGTTCGTGAGTTCTGTGGATAGTGTCGTCTAATTTTCGCTTGTGGGCAATGCCAAGACCATGCCGAAGTATCACCGGATGCGATCACGTGGAGTTCTCGATAAATGCAGCATTTAATACTCAAGGACCAGGCATTTTTAAATGTCTTTTTCTATCGTGACCAGTATTCTTTGACCAATCAAGCACTAAGTACCTTTTAATCTACCCCATTCAACCTTAACATTGATGTCACCTGCATCATCTACAACTTTCCCTCTGTCCCACTCTCTGCCTTCGCCCTTCTTGGCCCACCGTACATCGTCCTCGGTCTTCTCACCACCCTTCTCCCACTTCCTGATTTCGTCTTCGGTGAAACCCGCAGATCGCAGGCGCTCAGCACCCTGTTGATGCCATCTTTGCCGATCGCGTAGCGCTTCCAAAGCCATGTCCCAGTCGTCCTCCAAATCAGAATTGATGTGCACGTCAGCGGATGGATCGTAGCTCTTTGAGAAATGAGTATCCATTGCCGAGGAGTTCTTGTAAGCGCCGCGGCCCTTCGATTTTATAGTAGGTTCGGATACTGGCATCGGGCCAACGATGGCCTCTAGTGGATCCGAGTCGGAGTCCGGTTCCGTTGGCAACTGTCCCTTCTTTCGGCTTATCCGGGGATGATGAGATGCACTAGGTGATTGTGAACGTGTCCGACTTCGGCTTCGACTCTGATGTCGTTTTCGGCGCCGAGGGGACCGGGTCCGTGAGCGTTCTTTGCTGTGGGACCTCCTTCGACGAGACTTGTTGTGATCGTGACTTGAAGAGGCGTACTTTTCATCTCTATGTCTGTCTGAAGCAGTTTTATCTGTACGATCACGTCGATGGGTGCGCTGTGATCGATGTCCTCGCCGGTCGTCCGAAGGCTCGTTTCTCTCTCGACGACTATCGCGACCTCTAAATCCGTCATTTCCTTCCCTGTCATCTCGTCTGCTGCGCTTGTGACTACTGCTTCCATGTCTATGAGCGTCGGACCGAACATCCTTCACATCTGGACTTTCGTGTCGCCTACGTTTGGTAGACTGGTGGTCGCGTGATGCGACGTCCTCTATTTTACGCCCGCTGATTCTTGGATGTGGATCTTTACGAAGCCTTTTCAACCTGGCCCTAGACTCCTCGGCCTCTCTTGCCAGCAAGGCCGCATTGTGGGTATTTGTTTCGCGGATGATATTTCTGAGAAATCTCGTGTTAGGCTTGGGCGCTTGCGAGCTTGGCCTGCTATGGCATTAGCAATAAGAACACCTATATCTATGTTACGCGTATCTACCTGCTCGAGAGGAAGCCGAAACTTGCGCCCGCAGTCTTCGCGTCTTCTTTCAGTAAATTCGCAACAGTGTCGTCGTCCAGTTCATCCGCAGGCATCCTTTGCCTCCTAATCGACAGCCGGGTCGGCCAATCATGACATTAAGAAAAGTGCATGCGATCGAAATCCTTGATGAGACAGGACACGAACACTCCAGCCATGCAGGGCAATGGGAAAGAATGTGCATCCATGGAGTGACGTGGGTCAATGCGCTTGCTAGTGCGGGCGCGTCCTTAGCGGTAGGCTCCACTATTATTGTTGACAAACACTCGCAAAGAGATCACCAGCATTCACGTCGACGTGCCATACAAACATACTATGTCGCAGAATGCCCATGATACGCTGCGCAAGCTTCAGATCTTGCAAAAGGCACAAACACTCAAGATAATCGAGCTTAATGAGTCCCTCCGCGCCCCAGATGAAGCAGAAAAGCGCGACTCTGGCGTTTCTGAAACCCCAAGAGACAGTCCCACGCCAGCCAGCCTAGAAGCAGACCTGACACACTACAAGGTACGGTAGATAATGACTTGAAGCAATCAGAATCTAAATACAAGACGTAGGAGCTGTTCTCGAAACTACGCTTCTCTTACGTGGAGCAAATGACCAAGGAGAAGTTCTTACAAGCTATCACAGACTCCGATCCGCCCTTCATAGAACACCAACAGAATGTGGAGTTAGAAGCTCAGCTCGCGGAGGCCAAATCGTCCCTGAAGTCTCAGAAGCTCGAGGTAGCATCATTCATCGAAGAGCTTGAGAAGCAGGCGCGTCTCTTGAGTGAACGTACGCATGATATCTAGGCTGATTTCACGTTTCGACGCTGACGAATGGTGCAACAGGATATGATTCGATCCAATTGAGGACAGCTGAGCTACAGATGCTCCCTACCGAGATCGCCGCGTTGGAGCAAAGTATAGAAGCTCTCCGCGACTCGCAAGCGCCGCACCCAACGAATCCAGAGTTGTCACTTCCACTTCCTGAAACACAGGCTCTACTATCACAACGAGAAGCGGAACTCGCATCAATCAACGCGCAGCTGGCTGCTCTTGAACCGAGTGTCCAGCGCAAAGCGCGCGACCTAGAGCGGCTGGAGAGAGAGCTACAACCCCTTGAGACACAAAAGCAAGGAGTCATATCAGCCGCGAAAGAGGCAAGGAGGAGGCGGGAAGAGGGCGAAAAGGGTATGGGAGACGAGCTTGAAGAGAAAGGACGATGGTTTCGCGCGGCAGAGAAGGGCCTCATGGAAATGCTGGAGATCGAAGGGTGTACATGAAGCAGATGCCGAGTTTATCTCGTGCTTCTTGTCTATCATGCTATCTTAAGGTTCGGCGTTTGAAGTCTTGGGTATTGGTGGCGTTGAAGGGGGGGCGTCATCGAGGGTCTTTATCAGTGATACCAAGAGTCAAGATGTTGCGGAGTTTGGGGGGTTGGGCCGGTAGGATGGGCGGATACTACGGCTGCGTAAACGAATGAGATGACTGTTACCACCAACGATTTGCAGGCGTTCGTTGGATTGTCGTCGCTTCTTATACCAAGCTGCAGATGATGAGGCTGCAACGAGCAGTATGATTTGGCAGCATCGTGAGTTAGTGAGGAGGTTACGGACTTTTTTGCCTAAGGCGGAATGGCGGATGTCGTGGAAGTGGTGGAAGGACTGTTGTTACCCCACAACAGATAAGCAATGCAACGGTCCCCTCTACAACTACTGCACAGCAGCAATAAATCGCACGACTTGGCTGGGAACCACGAACCGCCACGATTGTCATCTCCAACAATCACCTTTGAATACGTTGGCTGGAGACCAGACTTACTCAGGCGAATCGGATCGCTGCTGTTATCAATATGTCCGACCTCGCAACGGAAAAGCACGGCACTTGGTTCGTCACAAGATGGCAAATTCATGCTTAATATCCCATAGATGCAGCCAACACGTCTTAAGTCTTCTCTTATGATCTTCCCCACTTATGGTTGGGCTCCTCCTCATGATCCCAAGGCTTTGTCGAATTTGACGTCCTCCACTGTATTCGTTGCTCCATATGCCAAATAAAGGCCAGGGACAAGGGATTTCGAAATCTTCCTGTGATTCTCAGAAAAAGACAAAGTCTCGCAATGGCTGCCAGCGCTGCAAGCTCAAAAGGGTGCGCTCAAATCGACATGGCCAAAACTTAGCTACAAATTCTGATACCCTGATAGCTCAAATGCGGCGAGGAGAAGCCGGCGTGTCAGAACTGTGTCAACCGACAGGTTCCATGTCCAGGATACAAGAAATGCTTGAAGTGGTCGACTAAATATGAGGTTTTCAAGCCTGAGGAACTGGATCTTACCCAGGAGTTTGTTGCATTTCAAAACGTCGCCATAGGCGCAACCCCTGTTAATCCTAGTATCGAAGAACCTGCTTCGACCACTGGAGCAGATCATTATCCTTCGCCGGATTCGGACACTTTGTCGGGGGAGGGAAAGTCACACGAAAAGAAAACGAAGCGCCAAAAGTCCAGTGTTGCAAGCACTAAGGGCGGACAGAATGACTCGGTCCCTGTTGATGGTATCATAACACCGGAAGCAGGAGCTGCTGTGGATTTCTCTTCACCTAGTGTAGATGATGCGTCTATGACAGGAGTGGACATGTTCTTCGACTCGCAACCTGGAGCTATAGCCGAGTTTTCGTACATCACAGACGAGGATCGGTCCTTTTCGCCAGGCGACTTTCTGGGAGTTCAAGCAGTAGCTGAGGTTGCAGAACTTACAAGACAGCGTGAGCAGGACTTGTGTCGACAAAGTCAAGCCCGTAGTCTTCTTCGTGCTTTCTATCGACTTGAGTCGTCTTTGCCGTCTGTTGGGTACATTGACGATAGCTCTTATTTGGTCAACTATTACTTCTTCAATGTTTGCAATATCTATTCTTCTTTTGATTCAGACCTAAATCCGTTCCGCAACGCGGTCAAAGATGTTTGGACTACTACTCCGTCGATTTATTATGCAATCCAATCCATGGCTGCTGCTCAGCTAGCCAACCACAGTCCCTCCTTTGAGGCCAAGGGAGTTGAGCTACAGAAGAAGGCATACAGTATGCTGAACCATGAACTCGAGTTGGCAAAGCACAACGTTGCAGCCAGTGGTAGGACTATGTTGGCTATTCTTTTGCTCGGACTCACGACAGCCTGGCATAAATCGAACGATCTCGGCGAGTACTATCTCCAAGCGGCACGCAAATTAATCATGCCCAAACTACTGGAGGTCGCTCCCGCCGTCGAGGACGGGGTAGCGCATGACGCTCAGTTCTATGAAGAGTCCCTGATCTATTGGGAGATGTTGATGGGCTTCGTCACGCCCTCTAACGCACCACTGACGCGACCTGGAAACCGACCACAGCCCGACTTCAGGGGTGCTGACGGAAAGATCACACCTCATCCATGGACAGGCATCGCACCACATGTGCAGATGCTCTTTGCAGAAGTGGGCCGTCTCATCCGCCGCGAACGCCAAAGTGCAATCCACAGCAACTCCTTCTCCATCGACCCTTTGGAGGACTTCTCCTTCACTTCGGACTCCTCTATCCTCGCTCATTCCAATCCCTACGTGGAGTTTCCCATCGACCCTTTGCTCGATATCGATCCCTACAGCACGACTACGACCGCCGCCGTCGCATCTGACCTCGAAGAAGCCCTGCTATCCGCCTCCATTCCCTCGGAATCTGAGATCAACGACATCCACGACCCGCGAACCGACAAGGCCCATTTCATCGCCGTCGCGGACGCATACCGCTACGCCGGCCTCCTACAACTCTACCGCGTCTTTCCAGCTCTCCTGCGCACCCGTCTCGGCGCCCCAGTCCCGTCTTGGACGAACACATTCGTCTTTGCGAACTCGTCTTCATCACGCAACGCTACCGCCTTCCTCAACTCCCTCGCCCTGCACATTCTCTCGCTCCTCGGCCGCATCCCCAGCGATTCGGGCACGATCTGCATCCAGCCGATTCTGCTGCTCACCGCGGCCGCGGAGCTGCGACGTATGTGTGAGCTGGACTTTTTCGATGAGGGCTCCTTCCGTGCGGATGTCGCCGTCACCCGGGCACGGCTGTTTGTGGAGGGCAAGTTTGAGCTTTTTGCCAAGAAATTGCCGGCGAAGCCGATGAGGGTTATGTTGGAGGCGTGTAGGGAGGTGTGGAGGAGGGGAGACGCCGGGGTTAGGGATGTTTTTTGGTTGGATGTTATGTGTGAGAAGGGTTGGGAGACTGTGATGGGATAAGTGGGGGTTTGTTCATTGATAATGTTCAGGAATGGGAGGGGGTTGATGTGGGCTAATAGCTTTGAAGGTTGTCGCGGCAAGTTGTGATCTGGACTTGGAGAGCGCTGGGATGGGACGATTTCTCGATGGAATGGGTATGGAGACTTGGGTTAGGTATTGGTAATGATCAGTCATGACTTTGATGAGTGCTGCTTTGATATCTGTTGTGTCTCTCCCCTGTTTTGGCAATGCATGGCTAGCCATTTTTCCACTCCGGACTCGAACATAGATATAGAGCAGCCAGAACATGAGGTTCGAATACTGTGTGAGACGCTCCTAGTCCTCTCGATATGGCTTGTCGCTTGTAGTTTATAGTATAGTATATGTTCAGTCTTTGTCTTTATCTTGGGTGTCATCTCAAGTCTTATCCTAACGTCTCTTGCTTAAGATAATTATGATACTGAGTATTAAGTACCCTCCTCGGAAGGTGTGTGATGTGTGTTATCATATCATTAGTCGCGAGGCTAAATCTGCATCGCTTTATTATCATTAATTAAACCCCTCCCCTCCACCCTCCCTTCACCCCAAGATCAACACACCCCCAAACCTACCAAAACCTCCCCCGCCCCCTCTCACTCCCTCCACTCGTCCTCCCAGAACCACCCCCGGCCCTCGACCCACCACCACCCATCCAAAACCTCTCCCGAAACGCCAACTGATACACCTCCGCACCATTTCCCTCCCTCTC